AACCAGCTTTATACAATCCGCGTTTTATTATGACTGCCTACAAGTCTGCTGATGTACATTGGACAAGAAAAGATTGGGAGGGGGGCAAAGAAAGATGTAAAAATATCCTGTCTGAGTGAGAACAAAATAGAGAAAATAAATGTCTCCATGGATCTTTTTCTTTTCCTCTTCGATTTATTATGACTACAGAGAGGGAAAATATCAAGAGCAAGAGAAAGAGGGGGCAGGGGGCTCTACATTTAAACCGTGTGTGTGTGTCTCAATGCTTGGGTAGCAGCTGTACAAATAGGCACACACACTCCCTGATTTGTCAGCTAATAACAACGCCACTGCTCCATCCAGCTCTGATTTATCCCATGCCCTCTCAGTTGTGTGTGTGTGTGTGTTTGTGTGTGTGTGCGTGTGTTGGTGCACATGTGTGCATTGCGTGTGTGTTTCTTGGAGAGAAGGACTGGCAGACAGCTGAAGGCACTTGTGGTTGTGGTTGTCAGGGCGTCACAATGTAGCTGAGGTGAGGGTACAGTGCATGTGTGTGAGTGACTCCACTGTGGACTGTTGTGGTTGTGGTAATTGGCTCTGATGCGACGCAGCGTTTATGGGTAACGACCTAGCCGCCCCCCACAGCCCCCGCCCCAGCGTCTCTCTCTCTCTCTCTCTCTGTCCTGTGGCTAATTACTTGATTCCTTGTGGATTCGGATTTGTTGCCTCCTTACCCTGCCACTCGAATAAACCCACTCGTCTAACTCGGTGTGCTGAGGCTGAACTTTGCTTTGTTGATCGAGCTTTTGGTCATATTTCAATTTGATCGTTTCAAGATTTTCTAAAAGATTGCACTTTTTCAAAGCTTTACATCATGTTACAATGTTTTCCTTCATCAAAACCATACCCAGAGCATTTCTTTGATTCTTTCATGCATTTTTGAGAAATTCTTTAGTTTCCCACAGCAACCATTCAGCTAGGCAAAACGCTTGATGGGCCCAAAGCTGCATTTTCCAAGCCAAGCTTCCAAGCTGAGCTTCTGCCTCACAGAATAGCCCTCCCCCGCGATGCCAATCAGCTCCTTCAGACTAGCCAGCTTTAGCAAACAGTTGGTGGAACTGCACATCAGCTGAGCTCATAATAGGTCAGTGAAACGCTGGTAAAATGCTGTTAAAGGGTTAATAGGTGCCATGTTATGAAGACTTCCTGAAGGCAGAGTTTCTGAAAGAGCAGGAGTTTTTAAAGACCCAATTTCAGGAGATTAAATTACAGTCATTTTTATAACAAATGAAGTTAACATAGTTACTAATTTGGGCTATAAAACAGTAATGTGTACACAAAACTGTCACCTTTAAATCTAACTTACTTTTGGTGATGAATTTCTCTGCTCTGTCTACTTATTAAATCATAAAACTACTTCTTCCCAGTCACACTACAGAGCGCCTGATGCCTCTGCATGCTGTGTGTGGATCAGACCTGAGGACTGCATCTTTGAGATGCCATGTATGCTGCATTCAGGCTCCACTGCTGTGGAATTTATACAAGTGCTACTCAAGTTGTGTTCAACATGCACTGAAGTGGTTCCTAGTCTAGTCTGAAGAGACTAGGATCTCTTAGTTTGAGGACATGGTTCACAACCTTCAAGGTCAGGGGTCAGCCTCCCCCCTCAAACGGAGGATGATGAGCATGTTGGTGTGATGGTTGAGTGGTATAGGTAGACGAATCGATCCCTGGTCTGCAGTAATGTGCTGCTTCTGTCTGTTGTGGTGAAGACAGAACTGAACCCCCCTGACCCTCTGGAGGTGAGTGGTCTCAAACCACATTCCTGGAGGTCCAGAGTCCTGTAACTTTTCGATGCGTCCTTTGTTCTCTACACTTGACTTAAATGGTGAAACTGCCTCACTAACATGCAGACTATAGTCTGCATGTCGGAGTCAGATATGCCAAAGCAGAGCGGAATCTAAAAATTGCAGGGCTCTAGATTTCGAGACACCTGCCATGGATGAAGGTTGCAAAATTGCAAAAGTTATAAAATGGTGAAAGAGGAAAATGAGTGCACTGTGTGTCTGAGGCTTTATAATACCCAGTGAGATAACGGCCAAATCAAGTCTTGTCAGCTTGTTGGCCAGACTAGCTACAGAACTAATGGTGCTTTTCCATTGGTACCAACGACTTGACTCAACTTCAGGGGTCTTCAGCCTCAGGGACCGCTGCCCTACAACTTTTAGATGTGTTCCTGGACCAACACACCCCAATCAAATGGCTGAATCACCTTTAGAGCATACAATCAAGTTCTTCAGAGCTCTACTAATGAGATGATTAGCTGACACAGTTGTGCTGAAGAGGAAACAGCTAAAATTCGCAGGACCCCTGGCCCTCAAGGTCTGGAGTTGAAGACTCTGCTTCTACTATAAGGATGACGTGGTACCAGCACCTTTTATAGAACACACTTCTTTGATACTCACAGGGTTTGGGATTTCAGACCCCTCACTCTTCATGAAAATAGCTAACTATGGGTCAGCTAACTTGGGGATAGCTTCACACTCTGAGTGTGAAGGGCGTTAATTCAGTTGAAAATTAAGCTTAAATTTGTCCGATTCTGGTTACTGAACAAAATGTAATTCTCCATCTTGCTTAGCCAAGATGCAGTTTCATTCAGAAGCTAGCATATTACATAATATCAGTAGAATATTAAAGAGATGTTAAGTTTTTGACACTCAGGTGAAGCATGACATGTTTGGGGTTGCAATCTTTTTTTCTTTTGACTCATACATTTCATGTCCAGTGTTTGTCTAGCATTTTTTTAGCTGAAGAGTATTTATTTCTTTTTGTCTGCTATATCGATGGTTAGAGCCAATAGGAGTTGGAAAACACTGCAATTAAAGCTGAAGTTGAAGACGTAAGTGCTCGAGTTTGGCTACACATTAGGGGGCGGGTGATTCAGACTTAGAATTTTACTGTGATATTTTGTGGTAGTTTTGTGGTAACAATATTGATTTCAATAAAAATATATTTATAACTTGTTTTTCAGGTCTCATCGTCTGACTGCATGGTACAGCATCCATAGTTACACAATGTTGTATATTCCCATTTACAATAGGTTGTTCAGGACAACACCTGAAGTAAGAAAAAAAGAGATCTATAACATTAGATAAATAACATAGAAACTGTTTAATCATATGTTTAAATTTTCTGATGTTCATTGGTATTCTGATGGAACAAGCAGCGGAGAAAATGTCAAGAATAATGTTTCCAATCACAGCGTCAGATTTTGTTTTCCAATGACTGAAATTTGTCAAAGCAACAACAAATCTATATTCTTATCGTGATAAAAAAAATCATGAGAAATGACAAACAAGAAGATGAAAACTAGGAGAAACAATAAGATAAATGCACACCTCTCATACAGATCAGCATATCTTTGCATATGTAGAATAAATAGCTGAAGTAGGTGCTTAACTTCAGAGAGGTCATGTAAAGAGGCTGCATTAATATATTTAACAAGATGGAGGAACATTTAACATTACAATAACTGGAGGTCAGAAATCAGTGCATAGTTTTGGGAAAGAAGGATGTGACAGTGACTGCTATACCAGAATGTATAAACGAAACATGACCGTAAGTAATCGGAAAAGAGCCGCTGCGTGTCCACAGCTTCCTGTGTAAATGTACACAGGGAGATTAATATATGACCAGATGTGCGTTCAAAGGGTAAACGGTCACTCATTCATTCATTAACACAGCTTTAGTGCTGTTCCAGGAGCTGGAGTATGAGCAATATATCCAAAGGTGTGAATGTTGAAATCATTAATATCATGGCTGTTCAGATGATAAATCGAATTTGCTTTCATGGAGAGATGCTTCAAAAAAAAAAAAGAAAAGAAAAAACGAAGAGCTTTATATTTTCCAAGGTCACATGAACAATAACCTAACTGGTTGGATCTAACCAGCCTAGAAATGTTCTAAATATAAGAATTACAATCAAAATCCCCTCAAAGTGGCCTTCCACGTCCAGCTGTCATCGTTTGTCATTTGATGCTAATGCTAAAAAGACCCGTCTCCAAAATAACGATGAATCTCTCAGGTGGAAACATGACAGCCTTGACAAGTTCTCCCTTTGACTCTTAGATATGGCAGACAGATGCCTCGCTTTTCACCAGCGAGGATCTGATCTGCAGAGAAACCGAGTCTGTTAAAACGAAAAGAGATAAAAATCCCAGTCAGACCAGCTGCAGGGCTAATCGGTTCAAGTTATCTCGCTTTTTTTCCCCCTCCCTAAACCGCTAATTGAGGTTAATATGTTAGCACCAAGTGACACAGATATTGAGACGCATGTGGCTCGGCAGCTTTATCACCTAATTTAAACATGTGCTTTCTGGTTACAGTATATTAACTTCAGGAAAAAGAAGCAGCAATTTATCGCTTTTTTTTCATACAAAAAATACTTCACAGATTATATGACAGTATTTATGTTGAAATCAAATTACACCAGGGATAATACATTTACTAATCAGATTACCTCTGGAGGGAGAAGGTGGCACCAGATTATATTTTGGGGTATCAGAGTGAAGGGGATCTTGAATACCCACCACACTTTTTAGCTTTTTATTGATTTATTTTTGCTCTGTATTTATTTCATGTTTTAAAGCACCTTGATCAATGCAAGGCATTGTTGGAAGGTGTTATATAAATAAAGGTTATTATTATTTATTCTAAATAATAAAAAAACAACATGTTTTCCTTCCACTTTGAAAGGATGCATCACTTAACGTTGATCAATCACATAAAAATTGCAATAGTATACAGTAGAATTAGTGGTTGTGACGTCCCGGGATGCCTCTGTAGGCCATTTACACGTCTATCTTTGTAATCTGTGAATTTTCAGAGCATTTATTTTGAATTTGCACAACAGAAACATTTTAGAACTTTTCTTCCTCTTTATCAAAGTGAAATTGTTGTCATTTAATTCACACTGAGCTGTCTCAGTGTGGATTAAATCTATCTCTCTTTCTGTCCCTCAGGTCCTTCCTTCATGGGCTCCTTCCTGGCCAGGAGTCTGGGGACCCCACCTTCACATCCCCCTCACCCTTCTGGACCCGCTGCCTCCCCTGCCTCCCCTTCCTATAGGGCTGGAACCCATTCAAGTACTTCCCCTATTTGGTTCCCCCACTCACATGAAGGTAAGACACACACACACATGCATGCACCCGCACACACACACGCACGCACTCACAGGAAGCAGCTCGGTTCTCTGTCTAATCCTGGGTCTTGGTTTGGGATTAGACCGAGATGGAGCCATTAAGTGGTTTAACCAACGCGGAGCCGAGGCCAAACACGTGCAACAGCGATGCCTCAGATGATGCTACTTATAGCCACACACACGTACGGCTGAGTGTGTTTCTGGGTCTGTTTGTGGTTTCGTATTTGTGGTTGTTTTCTAGTTCAGAGCTCAAGCACAACAAAGCCCCCCCACTTCTTCCTTCTCCAACTATAAATAAGCACGCAAATCTCTTCACGCTAACAGGGAACCCATTAATCAGCATTACTCCACATCGCTGCTACGTTTTATAACCACCTTCATCCAGCTGGATCTCAGTAGGCCCTGAGTTCCTCTCTTTGCACCCAGGTACGATTCGAAACTCACCCCCATTTCCACCATCCCCCCTCGGCTCAGACCGCAGCCCCACCCTCCAGGCCCTCCTCTGGGCTAACCGACCTCCAACGGCCCCCTTCCTGATCTGACACACACATATGCACTGAAACGGCATGCGGATCCTCATGCATCATGTCCTCTTTCGACTGTTAACCGTTTGTGGTGAAATTCTGAGCTTGACTGAGTTATCTGTCCCTTTCAGGTATATCTGTGTGTGTTTTTGTACACTCATGAGTGCATGTCGGGAAGTGTTGGGTGGGCGAGACAGGACCAAAGATAACACCTAAAAAAGACTCGAACAAAGTGACAGTTTGCACCACAAGCTATATTTCTCAATCAAGTAAAGACTGACTCAGAATCTAACTCCAGTTTAGCATTTTGTGAATACAGCCTAGCCTTTCTGAGTGTTGTCAATTCAAAACTGTCTCTCTGGCAAGAATTATAACATTGACAAAGACGCTGCTCCCGTCATACCAGTCATCTCAGCGATCCAGCTTTTCTCACCTCATCTCTGTGCACCATAGAAGGAAAGCGGCGGTGCAATCAATAACAAAAGTAATGAGTGCATTCCATTCAGGTGAATCAGTTTCAGCATACCGGTGCCATGCATGCCGGGACGCTTGAAAGAAACAGGCCATGTGGTAATATGATTTATTACTATTATAATTTTCCTGCCATTGCAAGTCAAAATGTGTCTTCCTCGCCAGTGGCACCATGAACTTTGCTTGGCGAGACAATAGTTGGCACATTTGCCGTTTTAAGTGGTTGTGACCTAGAGTGCAAAAAGCCCAAGAGGCGAGAGTAAAACTGCTGTTTACTTCCCTCCTGTGATTTTAATTTTCTTACTTCCTGTTATTAAAGCAGTTTGGCACTCTCTCTTGATGCCAGGCTACAGAATTGTGTCTAATTTTCAATGACTAAGCCATAAAAATGAGCACTAATGTAGCCCGGAGTGACTTTCCTCACCTGAATCCGTGGAACAACTCGTTCGCAAGACTTCAGGCTGAAGACTACAGGAAGCAGTGGTGAACAGAGAGCAGGAATGTGTGTGTGTGTAGGGAGAATGTATGTGTGCCTATAAGACAGAGTTTACGTCTGTGTGGCTCGGCTTTGATGTTCCAACGCACATACGCCTTCACGCACTTGCACGGGCACACACTACAAATGATTGGTTTTAAGAATTCAAGCCAGGGAGCTCCAATAGGCAGCCTGCCAGCTGGCCACGGTCCAGGGAGCGGAGCATAGCCAGCACAGAGAGAAGGAACCTGTCTCAAACACACACACACACACACACACACACACGCACGCACGCACGCGCACACACACACACACACACACACACACACACACGCACGGACACTCTACTTTTACTGGCTCTTCTACACCTGTCGTTGTTTTATGTCTCCGTACTCGTGCCTTTCCTCATCTCTTTACCTCCCTTTCTCTCATCCTCTCATCTCCAGCATCTCAAAGCTCTCCACTTTCCTTTCACTTGTCCCTTCATCTTCCATTCTCCCTCACAAGCACACACACACATCCCCCGCTCCTCTCTCCATACGCCTCACAGCAGCAGCACACTCATGACTTTTCATATTGACAGCCTTGCTCTTCTCTAGTGTCTGTTTCCCCCGACCATCTCCCCGTTCATCCAACCATTGAACTCCCTCCTTTTTTTACTCTTCCCTTACTTTATTTTCTCTCCACATTTTGGCCTCAGTGGCACTCCATGTCATTCCAGTTCCATCTCTCTCTCTTTCCACCCCCGTTTTATCACTCATCATTAACCAGGGGATTGGCCTTAGATGGCTGATAGAGCCTTTTGGCTAATTGTCACCATTTAGATTCACTGGTTGTTAGCCAGTCAGAATAATCACACACACACACACACATACACGCATGCACACTAGAAGCAGTGTGGGGGTGTTGCTGGTTTTGCTGTGTGACTGTGGAATGCGTAGGATGAGTTTTTATGGAGTGCTGTTTACTTTGGCCACTACCATTAAACTTTTAACGGCTGCCAATTAACGGGCCAGCAAGGACACTCTGTGGGGCATGAAACCAACTTCTGGAAAACAGACTCCAGCATCCGCACAGCCACACAGTCTAGCACCACATACTAAAGATATGTGGGTCTGCCAAGATCTCCTCAATCTCACAACCTAGTTCAACGTCCTTGAAGACAAGGAACAAAGTGAAACGATCGTTCACCTCCCACTGACCTCCTTGGAGGACTCGGTGTGTGTGTTTCAGGGTGAGGAGTGGGAGTGATGCTTTCTCCTATTCGTCTTAGGTTTTGGGAGGAAAACTGTGTTTTGTAGAAGAGCAAATTCCATCCATTCAAAATCTGCAAACACTTGGCAATAGTGGTCGGCTGTGGTTTCTGTCACCCTTCTGTCCACTGTAAATAATGTCAGCTCATCTGGCATGTTTGTGCAAGAGTTCATTTATGATGAAAATAGAACCAACTGGCTGTAGTTTTTCAGTGTTTTTCCAAAATTGGGGTCTTTTATGATAGATTGCAGAGATAAACTGTTTGTGCAGGGTGCTGCTGAGCATCAACATTGGGAAGGAACATGAATTCTCTCTTGCTTCTCCCTTTCCCATTGACAGGGTACCCAGGCTATTCAGGAAGTCTTGCTTCTCCTTTTCTGTCCATGAGTGCCCTGGATCACCATAGCAGCAGTCTCTATGGACAGCCCCGCTTCTATGAAACCCAAAAAGGTTAGTGCTACAGAGTACTTGTGTGTTGTGTAGGGGAAAAAAAGCTTTTAAACCCTTTAATTAGCTTTCAACCATAACTCTAATCGTAATGATGATTAAAGTTTACTTGAATACATCAGCCGTCACAAGCATACAAAGATCTAGTCCTGTTTCAGCTGCCTCTGGTCACACAGGCTAGCTCTATAAAATCAAACTGGCATCATGGATCCAAGGGGGGCTCAGCAGGGTTGATGGAGAATGTTATGTAGAAAATACTAGTCAAAAAACCCCTGAAGGGTTTAAAACACAAGTTGTGACATTTTTAAAAAAATATTTTCTACTAATTTTATGTGACAGCCCTCCGAAAGGAACATCTCTTCACCAAAGTACAGTGGCTTTCTTGTACTCATAGTTTCTTGTGTTAATAGTAAGAAATAAAAGTGTCAGTGATGCACTACACAGAAGTGGACTCTGTTTTTGACATAAATTCCCTGGTCAGCTTGCTGCACAGACTGTCTGTAATCACCAGACACTCTTGAGCTGCAATGCAGGTTTTACTCTTGCACAAAACAGCTGATGTGGGACAGTGACTGTGTTGAAATTAATCTCTTTTGCCACCTTGGTTCTTTTACATAACCATAGACAAAACTAAACAATATCTAAGTTTTATTATTGAAGTGTTTTGCTAAAGAAGCTATTGATTTACAGAGACCATTCAGTTTCAAGAAATTATTACATGTACATGTTCAAATTCTCATTTTCTTCTAGATCACTTCTACCTGAGAGGCCTTCCTCCCCAGTCTCCTCTACTCTCCACCAATCACAGCCTTCCTCCACTGTCCAGGACCGCATTAGGCCACCCACTTGGCCCCTGCAGTCGTGGTGAGATGGACAGTGGGGGAGGAGGTGTGAAGAGCATTAAGGATGTGGGCGAAAAGGGGGGTTTGTCAAAAGAGAGGGAAAAATTAAGCAGCAAAGAGCGACACCAGGACAGCAAAGAAAAGCAGCAGCTCCACAACCAACACCATTCTCATCAGATGAACTCTGCTACCACTCCATCTGGAATCCACCAAGCTTACTCCCATCCACACCATGCTCTTCTTCCACATCTTTCCTTCCAGGGTCGGGAACAAGACCACAGAAACTCTTTAGAGCGACACAAAGAGTATAAAGACAGTGACTTGGGTAGTCAAGGAGCAAAACCTATGAGTGCCTGTAAACTGTCCAGTGGGACAGGGTCAGAGGGTGCCTGTGAAGCAAAAGGTGGAACACTAAGCAGCTGCAATGGTGGGGCAAGCAGACTTTCATCTGGAATAAGCAGGCAAAGCTCAAAAGATGCACCCATAACTGGGGAAATGAGAATCAGTGACTCTTCAACTTCTTCATCTGAATGTATGCGTCGAGGAACTGTTACAGCGGCGGCATTCCTGACACCCCCAACCCCTCACGCTGTAGCTTCCTACTCTATGCCTCCACCCCCCGCACCACCACCTCCACCTCATACCTTGCACATAGGCTCCACAGTATCTGGAGGCTGGCTACACCCTGCAAATCACCACCCGCATCCTGAGTTTTACTGTCCTCCTCCCCCACCTCTAACACTTACACCTTCAAAAGAACCCACATCCAGCACTGGAGGGTCCAGCAGGGAAGCAAAGGTCAATGGCTCAACTTATGTGCCCTCAGTTGGATCACAAGGAGACATGTCCTCCCCTGACTGCCGTGGAGCAACCGGAGGAACAAGAAAAGATGAAAAAACCATAGAGGGATCCCATGAAAGTCCCTCTCACCATCCCAGCCGCCTTAGTAGCTGCCAGAAGAAGGACAAATCCCAGCCCCACCTACAGCAGATGGGATATGGCAAAGCTGACAAACCTCCTGATTGGAACCAGCAGACACATCACTTTAACAAACCTGGCTCCAACGGCATTTCTCAACCTGAACTTCGGTCCTGTAGCTTAGAAACAAATATCTCTCTTAAAGATGCTGATGTTGCAAATGAGATTTGCCATCATCTCTCACAAGCCAAGACCAGTTCTGATACTGAAGCTTCCTCACTAAGGGACTGTTCTCTCTCAAGTCCAGATGGAAAAGTGGGAACTGGACTTGCAACTCAGAGGGAAGGACAAAAGGTTGCAAGGATACGACATCAGCAGCACAACAGCCAGCCTGCAGCCGCAGAAGAGCGGTTAAGGGATGGAAGTCAGGCAGCATCATCATGGGGAGCTCTGGGGAGCCAACAAGAGGACCAGAGAAAAGGTAGCCATCTTGGATCAGTTAGTAAACAGCCTCCTCTTCTGTCCCATTCCTCGCCACACACACCTGATGGTGAGGGAGGTGCCATGAAGAACCTTATGAACTACAGCTCTCAGCAACCTTTGTTACTGCCACAGCGAAGCCCCTTCGGAGGTCTGGGCTGCCTTAACAAGAGTGGGGAGAGATCAGAGAGGACAGACAGAGGAGGAGCTAAAAGCAACACCACACTGCAAGACCCCTCCAAACAATCTCTCCCTTCTCGCCGTGGCTCCACTAACGAGGGAGAAAAGACTGACAGGGGTGCAAAGGAGGCCGGAGAAGCCGGAGAGGGGGAGGTCCGACAGCCTCCGGTGGGTATTGCTGTCGCTGTAGCCAGGCCCCCCCATCGTTCTCCAGACAGCACTCCTGGAAACAGCAGACAGGGCCGGGTGATGCCCAGCCTGAAAGGTCAGACATCATATACTGCTTTTATTATTATTTGGTCCAAATCAAAGTTTTTTTGCTGTTGTTGTTGCTAGCTAAAATATAAGAAATATGAGAAGCAAGATACACTTGACTGCTTCATAAACTCATCAAGCAGAAGGAAAAGCACCATCTCTGATATCTTGTGTGCACGTAGCACAGGTTCTGGAAAATAGTGAGCATGTTTGTCCTGTTGTCTTGGTAACTCAGGAGTATCGCGCACTGTGTATCCTTTTGGTCGGGAGTTGGAGGAGAGGAAGAGGATGTCAGAGGACCAGATTGGTCTTCATCACCACGACAGAGATAGAGAACTGGTCATCAGGTAGAGTCACAAACACAAACACACACACACACACACACAAGGTAGCATCTATTCAGTTTTCTTCTCATCTGATAAGCTGCACTTCTTTTATTTTCCTCGCTTCTTTCTCCCAGTCTGAAGCCCTGCTTCTCTTTTCTCTCAGCCCCTCACTCCATTTACTCCTCTCACCCTTTGATGTGGTTTTTCTGTACCTCCTCACTCTCTTACTTCACATCTCTCTCTTTCTCCTGAAGATGAGATGTAGTGCATTAATGTTACAGGGACTAATACGGATGTCTCTGAAGTATCAGGCTCTTATTATGTAGTCATATTAAGGGAAGAAAACATATAATGAGTAGTCATAGACCAGGCACAAGATGATGGCTGTTCCAGTTGCCGTCACATTTCCTTTTCTTCATGATTATAATGGTGGTAGAGGTAATGAAGATGACACGGATGAAGATAATGATCATAATAATGGTGATGATGGTGATGACAATAAGAGGGATAATCAACATAATGACAAAGTTCACCTCGCCTAACGCCATTGCAGGGAAAACAAGGACTGCATGGAGTTTGCTCGGATCCACCCATCCAGTAGCTGCCACGGTGACCTGACCCCTCACCTCCTTGTCCCCAGTGGAGCAAGCCAATTAGGGGACCCTGTTGCACATGCTCACCCAGCTCACCGCCACTGGATGCAGAGGACAGGAAGTCCCTCCCTCTGGATGGGCCCTTCATACGGTGAGACTGAACACAGGGCCTCCAGCCATTTCACACTTGATTTTGACGTTTCCATTTTAAATGATGGCTTATTGTTGAAGTTCATGTTTTTTCCTTTTGCCTTTACTGTTTAAATTACAAAGTATACATAATAATCTTAATTAATAAGAAATATAAAAGCATTCCATTTTTAAAAATGTATTGATAAACATTTTGTGCAATACCTTGCGATGTTCCAGCACATAAAATAAAAATGCAACATGACAAAGTGCGAAAAGGTTACAAGGATGGATTAATCGATCAGACTTTCTGTGATTGACTCCCTTCCTGTTTCAGGTCTGAGCCATGTGGGGATGAGCCCCAGCTTCCCACCAGGTCTTGCCAGCCCTCTCCAGCCAGTCTTGGGGTCCCTCAGCCAAGATCCTAACTCCCCTCTTGTGGTTCTTCCAACAGAACCAGGGCCTCATCTTTCTCTCGGTATGAAAAGCAGACTTTCACAGCAACAACAGTATGCATAATGATTGTTGTGTACTGCCTTACTGCCCTGCTGCCTCCTGCTTTCTTCTCATTTGTACAATGGATGCTGCTGCTGCCGGTTCTCTCTCTGAGTTTTAGTATCACTGGCTAATCATAATATAATGCTCAACTAAGCCCCTCTGTCAGTGGGACAAAGTTTTATTGCTTTGTTAATGGAAGCGGCTATTCTATTGCCCCCTCTGCATGTGCCTAGCATTATGCAAACCATTTGAACTGTCGTCTCATCACTCTTGCGGTAGAGTGCAGAGGTGCTTAGACTGTGTGTGCATGTTAAAAGTCATGTTAATGTCTAAAGCAACATGTTACAGTGTTTTTTTTTTTTTTGTATATTTCAACCTTTGCTGGAGAGAGAAAAATATATGTGTGTGGTGTGGGTGTGTGAGTGTGTGTGGGTGTGTGCGTGTGCGTGTGTGTGTGGGGTGGGGGGGTGTGTTTTAGCATTCCTCACTTTGTAAATCCCATTTTCCCAACAAGTACAACGTTGTGAGGATCTACTGCTCCTTTTTGAGCCAAAAGCCTGGGCCCACATAAGAAGAGCTGTTTTGAGTTTCGGGATTACGTTTAGGACTAAAATGTGAATTGAGTTTAGGTTTGGTTTAGGGCTGGGCATTTACTGGTGGTGGGTACGGACAGAGTTACATTTATGGTTAGGGTATCAAAATGAATTAAAAAAATGGAGGGTAGTCCATGTAAAATCCTTGTGAAGATAGAAATACATACTATATGTGTGTGCGTGTGTGTGTTTGTCTGTCTTTGTGTGTCGATGATGCTTTGCAAACAGGCTGTGAAATTTAATTATCTCCCGCCTCCCTTGACTCGCTCTGTAAGAGTTCCTGCAGAGAGGGGAAGTGCATCCACTGAACCCTTCCCCTGGGAAACATTAGCCCACTCAGGCTAATCTCACAGAACAAAGGTTCCCAGTGACAAGCCAGCCAAGGAGGGGATGCATGTGCGTGTGGGTCTGTGTGTGTGTCTTTGGATGAAAGCCTGCAGGTTTCCCGGCAAAAAGTACCATATCCTCAGAAAAAGAAACTCGGGGTGAAATTACGGGGCGTGACAAGATCACAGAATATTAAAACCTCAAAAATGTTCTTGTTAAAATGAAGCACTATCTACTGGCTGTCAGCATGTAGTTTAGCTACATATGAGCCGAAAATATAAAGCCGTGTCTTTTTAAGCTTGTATCTCAGTGTCTATGTTTGCAACTTGAAAAACTGTTGGTCTGTAGTGTTAATGGAGTAGAATAATAAAGGCTGTTTTAGGATTAATTGTAGATGAAACAAATGTTGATGGACAAGAACATTATTGCAGTTGGCTATCATGAAATAATGAAACCTTTATTCTATTTATGAATACACAAAAATAAGCCTTTTCCAGGCTTTTTAGTATTTAGAACTGGATTAGATGAAGCAAAACATAGTTTTAATCAAACCTGGACCAATTATTCCATGTCGATCACAGATTGGTGATTATAATTGAAATCTTGGCTCTATTTATGACAACAAAAAATGGGGAATAACAATTTCTCATTTCTTGTTTCATAAAAATTGTATAACTTATCAACTCATCTTGTGAGCAGACAAATTTATTGCAAAATATTGCTGCCTACATGTAGTTCTAAGTAATCTAAGTTTGTTAACAATCTCAATCTATCTCAGCAAAGGTCTCAGTAAAGTCCCACCTTCTTCTTTGGTTCTTCCTCTAGATGTTCTGGAGCAGTCAGGTCTCTGGCCTTCGATGTACGGAGCCAGAGGAGCTCCCCCTCACCTGCAGCCCCACCCAGTCTATTCGCGCACCTCCTTCCTACAGCAGCAAGAGCTGTACGCACTGCAGCATCAGCACCACCAGCAACAGCAGCGAGCTATGGAACACATGCAGCGACTCCCCTTAGGACAAGTAAGATTGGCCTTCAAGTAATGAGATTCAGAACTAGTCAGAATGTTGTAAGCTGATCCACGGATCCAACTTCCTCTTTCGGGTATTTAGGAGTGGAACACAGTAAAATATTTGTTGATAGTGTAGGGCTGCACAATGTAAGGAAAGCATAAAATGGTGATGTTATTGCTTAGTATTGCAACCAAATCCTCATGCAAAAAGTAATCCTTGAACTAACAATAATAAACTTGAATTTGCATGTTCCCAAGAATTCTTGCACCACAAATCTTTTTCATTTCTTTTTTTTAAAAGAGAAAACATGATACAATCACAATAGACGACTCGCCGAATGGATCCCCGACTTCCAGAACTCCATCTTCTTCCTCATCCTCTGTCTCCACCCATGCAGCAAAACCCTTCTCTCACACCCCTCCTCTGCCTAAGACCTCCACACCGTCTCCAGGGCTGTGCCCGAGCAGCCGGCAGTCACCCTGCTACCATTCGCCATCATCGCGTTTGACACACCCGCCAAATTCCCTGACTCCGACCCCGAGCCCAGCAGCGGCAGCGCCAAGATCTCCGGCCCTCAGCCCTGCCCCTTCACACCTTTCCAAAGCACTGGAGAGAGTCAGTGACAGAGGAGAAGGGCAACCACCTCAGGACTATCCCCAGTCCTTAGAGCCAGGTGTGTTAAGAGAAGATTGAGATAGAAAAAAAGAGGCAGGGTTGCTGAAGCATGGTGTATATCTTTAAAACATGGTTTCTTTTTAGTTTTGCAAAATTGTTTGAAGCAGGGCCTTTGCTTCATATGTCCTTGAGTGTATTTGTGAAAGCTAAAGAGAGACGGTAGACAGGCCAGCCAGTAAGGTCAAAGAAAGCATATGGACACTCTTTGTGTTGCATGAGTGCAACCTGCCAGGCGCACACGTGTGTCACAAGAGGAAGGTCAGCGATATCTTCAGACAAAGTCTTCTTATCCTTCAGGGGTCCTTGGAAAAGTACAGGTGGAAGGATACACATTCATCTGGCTGTGTTGTCAGGGGGTGGAGGGATATCATCAATAAAATGAGAGCGAGGTGACAGGTCTGCTGCAGCAATCATAGGAAAACAGCAGGGTGTCATCAATATCCAACGTAGATCTATAAACTCACACTTCTACACACACACATGCATTTTGTATATTTAATATACACCAACACACTCAGTGTTTTCTGCACCTCGATGTTAATGTACTATGTCAACTGTAATCACATGCTTCATCTTGTCTGCCTGAACAGAATGCCAATGAAGTAAAGCTAGGCCAGAGTTTACTTCTGTACATTTTTATGTGTTTTATGTCAAATTTCTGACATGTAGAAACACTTTTAGTTTTATGTCAAACTTTGACTTTTGTTCTCACTTTATGTTTTCACCAGACTTGCCACCTGTATATAGCTTCTCTCCAGTTTCCATGGGTTACAAGGCCGGGCCTTCGCCTCCTGAAGCGCGAGCGGCAGAGCAACCTTTGTTGGAAGAACAGCAAACAGGGTCTGAAACCAAGACTTTCTCTAAACAATGCACCATCCAGCCTCTCACCAAAGAGCGGGCAAGGAAAGAAGAGAACATAACAGATTGCAAGGCAGTGGAGTCCGAGAGTGAATCAAAAGGATGCTCTATATCTGAACTCCAGAGTGCTCTTTCTGGATCACCGTCATGCCCTTTCCAAGCTCCAGTTCCCGAACCATTCTGCCCAGCAGGCAAAACCCTAAAAGTGGATGTTCCTTTGGGTGGCCTTATGGAGTCTCAGATGTCCAAAGAGCAGGGAAATGATTGGGAGTGCATCAAAGAGGATGACATGGGGGAGAATGAGAGAACAGAGCGTGGACCAGCTGAATGTATGGTCTCTGTGCCCATAGAGCCTGCGAATGGGGAGCCGGAGCAGGATCAGTACAACGGTGAAGAGAATGTAGAGGTGGTTGAGGATAAGGAAGAGGAAGAAGATGGGAGTGGGAAAAGTCCAGATGAGCGATTGGTAGAATATTCTGTTGTTTCCCCCTCTGCTGACCCGCTCCCCTCTTCCACTATGACAACAGCAGCCCAGTTAGAAGGGGCTTACATGTGGAGCTTGGAGCTCTTGATTGCGGCGGCTCTGTGTGCCACCAGAGATGCCTTGTACCCGCCGACACCAGTTGTTCAGACCCAGTCTCCTTCTTCTCACCATGGTATGGAAATACTGGGGGAACTAGCTGAGCTGGAGATCAAGCAAAGGAGCAGGGAGTTCAAAGAGAAGGAGGAAGAAGGTGAGAATATCTTTTAACTACTATTCTTAAACTGTTTTTGACCTTAAAATTATCACAAGCAAACAGATGTCATATCTATGTGTCTGTACTGAGGTGAAGAGAGCATGAGAGTGGTGAGAGGCTAACACTTAGTCCTATGGGGAACTTTGTTTGGCTTTGGCATACAGATTATAATGAAAGACATGTAAACATTAGATCTGACCTATGTGATGATGTCATTTGCTTCTCCCATCAGTCCTTTGGGGGAATGTAGATTTGAATGGGAGTCAATGCAAAGTTGAGGCTGTTCAGAGCAATAAAGGTGCAAAATGATCAAACAGGTGTTTTTTGTAAGGTTTAGCTTCAGTTGAATATATCAGGCAAGAAACTATGATGTAGCTACACTAATTTAAAGAAGTGATGCCATATTATTGTATCAGTTGGCCACCATATCTAAGCACGTAGAACTCACAACCTACAATTTTTGCTTATTTCAGTAACATCTTAGAATTTATTTCTCTAATTAGCTCAGATGTTGTGCAGACTCCTATTCAGACGATAGGGAATTAAGGGCCATTGTGTAAGGCCAGAGCTTTGAGATCATCTTCCCGGTCTGCTCATTATGGAATATCTCAGGAAAGTACCTCCAAGATTTTCTGAATGTTTTTGTGAATTTTTTTCTGCAGTCAAGATCAGATTCTGTATCGTTACTTCAGCAATATTTGCAAGAAATTGAAAAATGTTTTTCCTCAATAAGTCCCTTTTAAAACTAAACATAAAAGAAAACAGATGAGACAAAAATGAAAGTAGATTTGACACGCAAACATTTTTATTATTGAAAATAAAAATGTTACCATATTGATCAAAGACAAATGACTTGAGACTAAGTAAGGCCGAGGCAGAAGTGTAGTAGGAAATACTGACACCAATAAGTGGGGCTTAGAAGTCAATAAAACCTTTTTTTTCTGACATTTTTGCAGAAAATTTACAATAAATTAGTGGGGAAAAATGAGAGGGGTTGGTTGATTTTGCTTAGATTTCTGTGATTGCTGAAACGCAAAAGACTACAGACACTGTCTAAAAGTATGACAATCTTATAAAAGCTGTTTAATTTATCAGGCTCGATCAAGTAGCTGGCCTGCAGTGTGCAGCTGCTAATAGATTGATAGCTAGCTTAGGAGGAAAGGAAGGACGAAATGCAGGGGTCACCAACACTGTTCCACAAGAAAACACTCTACACTGTCTCTGGCATTTCATTAGGACCTTACTGGACTATGATGGAAGATTCACAGGCTGTTGTTAGAATATCACTATTTCATCAGCTTAACTCTTATTACTAGACAAAATGACATGTGCTGAGACCGCTAGCTGTAGCAATCCATCCTTGATCAGTTGTGACTCGTGATAATCTCCAAATAACAGTGAGACTTAAAAAGGAACAGGATGTACCATCTTTAATGCCACTGGACAAAATCCAGTGGTTTCCTTCCCTGTTGGCGGGCTTAGAGTGGATTGACAGGCTATAAATGATAAATGGTAAAAAGTTGTGACTAATCGAGTGGTTTGCTACAAATGGCGGCCTTAGAACATGTACGTTTGTGTAGCAACACTAATATTGTTTAGTTGAGAAGACAGAAACAACCCAAACACTGACTGCATACCTGCCAATCTGAATGTGAACATTTCCACTTTGACTTGTTTTAAATAGCTAAAATCAGCTGAAGGATATGACATTAATGTGACTGCTTTAGATTAATGCACTTTTACTGTTAATAACCGGCAGACATTACTTCGGTCCAAACTAGCTCCATGAGGCCAGAAAATTAGATCAAGGAAGAAGAAAAATAACTTTTTTTCTCTGCCTAAACAAACATTCCAACTTGCAGCAAACCCAAAACAAAAGGTGGACTGGGAGACATGTGAAACGCACGTGTGAAATCCAGATGTCTATAATGTCACACACAAACCTTCAGAAATGTTCCTCTAACTGTCCTGTTTCCTTCCTTTTCGCTCCCACTCTCAGCTCCTTCCCATAGAACCACATTTCCCCCCCTGGGCAGTAAGTGTGTGTGTGTTGAGTGTTGTGTGTGTGTGTGTTTAAAGGGAACACAGAGATGGACAAACAAGCTAAGCTTCAGACACGATCCAGGACACACATGCACAGACTCTCAGCCCGATGTGTCCCTCAGGCTCTGTCGTCTTGCTTTGCTAATTAGACCCTTTCCTTTAAAACACTTCTCCTGTAAGCGCTCCTATTTTCCTCTCGTCCCTCTGAGAGAAAGTGTTTTTATTTATGCCAGCATCTGTGTGTGTGTGTGTGCGTGTGTGTTGTATGCATGGCGTGCACACACCGGTGTATGTGGCTAAGCTGTTAAGTAATCCCAGATGAATCCCTGCTCTCCTCCGTCAGAGTCCCTGTGTCTCTCTACCAGACTGCCTCCTCCTGCCTTTCCTCCTCCTCCTTTGTTATTTTTTCCCTCTCACTTGCGTCTTCTCTCTCTCTTTTTTTTTTTTTTTTTACAAAACCAATGTAATCTTGTGTGTAAATCCTGCCTCTGCAAGCCTTGTTGACGGAATTAATAAGTGTAAAAATCATAAGTCGCTCAGCTGCTGCAAAGAGAGATACGGGCTTTGTGAGTGTGCATTTGTTTACATGTACGCGCGTGCTTAGCATGTGTAATAGGTGTGAAATCAATAAGTCAGTCCCATCCGGGGCGTGGAAAACACCAGATCCCAGCGCGTTTTACTTAAAAAGCAGCTCTGCTCTCGTTGCTGAGAATGTTATTAATACAGCTGAAGGGGCTTGTGTCGCTTTGGACGATTGGGAGAGGAAATCGATCCCAGACAGACGAGGCTTTTTACCAAAGATCCCAACTGCAGATCAGCAATTCAGCAAACCATTTGAAAGAATCTACGCACCCAGAGTTAAACTTTAAAAATCTGTCAGTGTCACATGTTCCTAATTTTTTTTCATATATGAATTACGTTGGAACAAAGCTTCCTGAACAGTAGCACAGTTACATGGTACCGAAGGAAAACTTTAAAACTTAATAACACACTCTAATTGCTTTTATTTCAAATGGGGAAAAAAAACTATTTTTACTCCCACTCACTGAAAAAGAAAAACAGGCTATCCAACTTTTTTTTAAAAATGGAGTCAATTTGTTACAGGTAATAAAATTAAGGTTATCCAAGTAAATATATTAAGTTTATTAAGTTGCTATGCTAAGCAAATGTAAATAAATTAAGTCTGACGAAGTAAATCTGATTACCTGTTATAAATTAAGCACATTTTTTTAAAAGTTCCATTCTCTTTTTTTCAGTGCTCCCGCTTAGTTTTTTTACAGCTATAATTACCACCCTCTAAATTCAGTAACTCACTGTGCTAATAGCTCAAAATATTGTACTTTTTTGTTCTGTTCTTTATGGAAAAACACAAGCTGGTCGGGACAGTCTGCAGCTTTTATGTCACTAACAGCACAATTGTTGGCAACATAACATCAATTAAAAAGACACAATCTCATTTTTACTGGCATTAAATCAGACCAAAAGCTCTCATTTTAGGTTAACTCGAATTACCAAAATGATTTCTGTTTACTAAATGCCAGAAAACTTTTTTTGTTTGTTTTTGTAAGTGACCAGCCAGCTTGCAATGCTTTATGCTTTGTAAAGTCAGAGAAAAATATTGTCACTCCTGCATTTTCTCCAGCAACTCCTTAAGAGCACTTTAAACATCAGGAACAGGAGGATCATAATTTTTTTCTTTATTTCATTGGTATACTATAATACCGGTAATTAGCCAACACCTGGTGGATATGCTGCTTGTAGTATGCCGGCTGCAGTTTTAATAGTTTCAATTCCATGCATGACATTGTTACTGAAGAGCAGAGCTGCTCTAAGCGTCATCACGAGCTCCATTTCCATTAACTTTAAAATTGTACAATTTAATATTTCGAAAGTAAATTTGCTTAGTTTTAAACGCAGCAATTTCTTGAAACAAACTTTCATATTTTTATGTAAAGTATTAAGAATGGTGATTCACATCACATGAGTCACCTGATCAACAACTGGATGCTACTACTGGCAGAAACAACAAAGAAGACAGGAAGTCTCATGAGGATCACAACTTATTGCGTGAACAAGTTTATTCACGTGTGATTAAAATTGCATTTGTTGTTTATTATAAACATTGCAATTGTGAAATAGTGTTTTTTTTAATTTATTTTTAATTAGCAGAATATCAACACAGATTTGTGCATATTTGTAGTGGAAACACAGCTACTGATCCGACCTCTTCTCCAAACAGCTCACTGATATTTGCACAGTTTTTACTCATTTCTAAATAACATTTCTGGTGGGATCTGCGCATGTCTTTGATGCAAAGTTTTATTGTTACTTATCGTAATTGGTCTGTTGTTTTGTTATGGCCAAGTAGACACACATTTTGAACATTTTTAAATTAACCTATGCAGTTTCACCACCCTTTGAAACAGATATTTTTTAATAATTACATTGCATTCATGTTGAAATGTTGCCCCTTGCTTTTTTCATTATTTTATTCTTTATTGTGTTTTTCTATATTTTACATTCTATTATTGTGTGAGCGTACTGGCTTTGACTACCTGTCATGTTGCAGCAGAGTAATTTCCCCACTGTGGGACAAAAGAGGAATTTCTATTCTATTTTAATAAAATCAAGTGAATTTATGAGTGGATGCTGTTTTTCAGGCAGCTAACCAAGCAGTGCGCAGCAACAGGTGGGGGAACTGATTTGTCCATACAGCAGAGTAAACTCCAATCACCAATGCTCTGGACATTTGTTGTTTTTTTTCATGTCAAATCCCCTGAGCTGCCTCCTATTACAGACCTCTCCTCTGTTAGCGACACACCATAGTGTTATTATTGTGTGTGTGTGTGTGTGCGTGCGTGCGTGCGTGTGTGTGTGTGTGTGTGTGTTGTTGAGTGGAACGTACGTATTGATTGCGGCCATCCTCCATAATACTACACCAGGGGTGGTGATGTCAGCGGTGATGTCATCCTGTCAATGTAACTGGAGCGTGCCATTGGCTCTGTGGAGCTTGACACACGAGATGACATTGACCTCTGCGAGCCGGGACCGGACACGGCCGGCAGAGGCAGCGCCTTGACGCCCCTCTCTGTCCACCGTCCTGAGCTCACACCTCCGTACTCCCCTCTCGTATTCTCTGACCTCTCATCCTTCTTGCCCTCCTCGCACTCCTCTTGTTTCCCGCCTTCCCCCTCGCCGCCGTGTCCTGCTATAAAGCGCGCGCACAGGTTTTTATAATGTCAGGTGTCAGCTGGGCAGGTCTTGCTGCTCCCGCGCGCGCAGCCTGCGAGTGATCCAGCGGAACCTCTCTCCTCTCCTCGTCTATCTCCTCGGAGGGAAAATTGGATTCTGTCCATGTCCATAATGAGAAGATGTAGGAGAATAAATAGATAGCTCAATAAACACTTTGCCTCTTATTGCTTCTCCTCCCCTTCAGTCCTCACCCCCTCCCTGCTTTCCTTCTCACCGCGCTGCAGTCCTTCCTCCTTCCTCCTCCTCCTCTTGCTCCCGCCACCCGCTGCTCTCCTTCTCTCCATTTCTCCCACACATACAGACGCTCGTGCAGCTTCGTGTCTGTGGAGCTCAGCGAAAACTGTGTGTGTTCCGAATGAGTGTGTTGTGTTAGCACAGGTTTGTGTATGTGAACCTCCTCATTAATATTCTGTTTTATCTGCTGCCGCGGTGACAATGACAGAGTTAATGACAGTGACAGATGTAGAGAGCCCCCTCCACTTCCTCCCCATCTCACCTCCACCATTACTCCCCTCTGGATGCGCGCGCGCCTGTGTTTGTGTGTACGATTAGGCAGGAACACAAGTATACATCAAATAAACTACACAGCTAATATCATAAATATCACCACTTTTCAGGGCACAGTTTCACCGCTCTAAGAAAATAAATCCGCTGAGCGCTCACCGTGTTTTACAACGAGGCGCTCAGGACTGAACTGAAACCATGTCTCGCGCAGGTGAGGAGACGCTGACCTTTGACCTTCACAGTCTGGCGACGCTGGCGGCGGCTCGGGCTCTAGAGATGGGCGGCAGCATTGTGGACACGGAGTCTGACCGGCAGTGTCCAATCAGGAAGAGGCTAAATCTGCGCCGGAAGTGCAGCTGGACGCCTCGGCACGAGCCGGTGAGGCCTTCACCATCCTACATCAGAGAACGTCTGTTTTCAGAAGCATGAATCATTCATACTAAATTGTGGGTTGCTGCAGAGTTGAACAATAGAAGCGGGATTTGTTGTTTTTGACAAACAGAGCGCAGATCGGGTGGCTTCCTCTTTGTCTTGTTAGGATTTGATCTAATTGGCCTATTCCAAACAAGTAATTCACTTCTTCTTTTGTTGTTTGTTTTTTCATAGTTTGTGATAATCTTACTTCCATTTGAAAAAACAACCACAAAAAAAAAAAAAAAATACAGACATGGTTTTGTGCAATTTTTTTATTCACCCCTCTTCACTCTGACGCCCTCAAACAAATGAATACATCTAATATCAGTATAAATCCAGTTATTCTGCAAAGGCTTTAGATTACTGGTCAGACATTAGTGAATGAAGAGCATCACAAAGACCAACAACCAGATCAGACAGGTGCAGAGGTTCAAAGAGTGGTTTCATTATAAATGGATATTCCATTTATAATTGAATAAATGGCTGATGTTCTCCTAATTGGAGAACATCAGCAAAAATACCAAAACATGGCAGTCCACTGAAATTTAAAGGACCATGGTAAAAAATAATACCAACACTCAAAAAAATACCCCATCTTACTCATGGCATAGCATAGCACTGTGTGAAACATATTTGTAATACATGTAAGAGAAACACTCACTAAGTGGATGAACTGAACTATTAATATGAAGAAATTTGATAAGTTGATCAGGAGCCACAACATCCAGGGTCCGATTCCTAATCCTGGGGCCTTTGCTGCTTCTTTCTAATATAATGGAAATAAAAAAGAACCTATCAAAAATGCAATAAGCAGCAGAGTTCTGTGATGCCGTCCTATTGCTAATTAATAAGTCAATTTTACAGAGTTTACAGAGACTACCTGCATCTGTTTGCGTTTTTCTGGCAGGCCAATCACAGGCCTGCGCTCCTCCTGCAGAGACGCTGCACTGCTCCCACACTTAAAGAGCTGATTGAGATTCTGCTCATTTTCTGTTTCCCTGGCTGTGAACAGCAACCGAAGAATTCAGACTGAGGCAGAGCCACTTTTAATGTGGCTAGTTGGATTGAAGCAACTGATGTTAGCCAATTATAATTAATATTTAGTCAAAACTAGTCCAAAATTAGTACAGTGAGAAATAACAGATTTTGCAACAAAATATATATATTCTGGACTGCTGGGAGGGATGGGGTTCCTGTTGGAGCGGCGGCTCCAGCTGCTCCATTGTTCAGGCGCCTCTGGCACTGTGAGAACCACTACATTATCATCCAGGCACTTTTATCAGTGATATGCACACTGTGCCAGATTGTTTTGCATATTCAAAACTTCCGTGTAAGTAGAACAGTTCATCTCTTTGTCACAAATATCACAGTCAATAAAAAAAAAAAGAGATTCCAGTTTAAATAACGGAACATTTGGATAATAAAACCGGTTTTGGTGAATACACAGAAAGAATCATCAACCCGCCTCCTGGAATCACTTTGAAGTGCCTTAAAATAAGGAACTCCTTTGAAACTTTTTTTTTCAAAGTGACATCATTTTGGAAATATGTTTTTCTGTTTTCCAGAAATATGCATTTGAGAACAGACAATACTTGTTAAAAGAAAAAAGAAAAGAAAAGACAAAAAAAGATGCCCTAAAACGTGCATTATCAATACGCCAGCCAAAAAAAAAACTCACTGGTTATATATTCAGTGCTTGTAGCACAGCATTATAAATTCCTCTGCTTTGTGTGTGTGTATCAGGTGTGCCCAGTGAAGGGCTCCATGGAGACTATGGGAGGGGAGGAGTTGGCCATGCGTGTCCAGCTGGCTGAGTTACAGCGCCGCTACAAAGAGAAACAGAGAGAGCTGGCCAAACTACAGAGGAAACACGACCACCAGTGAGCAGAATAACACACTCACACACACACGCACTCATGCACGCACACTTTTCTTGTCTTTACTGAATTGGGCATTCCGACATTCACAATTGTGCTTTCATGCTGCATCCCCTCCTGATTTATCATGACTTGCTGCCTTTCTCACACTGGATGCATTTTGACCTGCAGCCGAAGCAGCCTGCCCCCACCCCCACCGCCTGATTTCTGCTGCATTTTCAACCCCTCTCTCTCTCTTTTTCTCTCTCTCTCTCTATCACTCTTTCTCTCTCTCCATCCTCCTCTTCCTTTTCGTTGCTCCTCTCCCTGCAGGAAAGACGAGACGTCTCGTAGCCCCGCTCGCCGGGGGCCCGGCCGCCCCCGCAAGCGCAGGTCCACCCCCGGCCCAGCTGCCGCGGAGAGCTCCAAAAGACTCAGGTCAGTGCTCTGATGCTGCGTCGGTATAATCAGTGTGATTGGCAAGCCCAGCTCATTCATCCTGATTTCTGTTTGTGTTTTTGGTGAAAGGCACGGTTGATTTTCAAGAAGTTCTTCTTCAGCTGAATTGATTCAAATGCTCTATAGCTGATGATTTGCTTGATTGGGCCCTGGAAGGAGCTGCTCATGCATGCACACACACACGCGCGCGCACACTGTCACACACACACGTGCACGCACACAGTGGGTTATGTGATGGAAGCTGTAAGATGGCTGTGATTTTTAATGAGAGAAGGTAATGGAGCTGAGGGCTTCATTAATCATCATTAATCACTTTTAATCATATTTATCACTTGTATTGATTGTGTCCTGATTCCATGTGAACCACTTGCATATACTAATACAGCTGGACAAAGTCTGTTATTACAGTGACAAATGACTCAACACCTCCCCCACCTGCAGCAACACGTCTCCACACATTTTAGCACCTCAAACATGCTAACTTTTAAGCAGACACAAGCTCAAATCACACAGACACACCCACACACGCACATGCACACACACACACACACACGCACACACCAGCATTCACTGTGATAAATGTGTTTTCTCATGGTGCCCCACCTCTGTTAGCAAGTGCACCCGTCGCCTTGATAAAATGATTAAAGAAACTCAGGGTTTGTCACGGTTACCATGATTAGAAGGCGCTAATGAAAATGACAATGAAAGCCTTTTGTCATAATATGCCGGCATCGCCGCACACATAGTCAGTCAGGGAACTTGTTTAATTAGCCGAGCTGGTTTCTACGTGCCTGTGCAACACGACGAATGTTGTCATTAACAAGCAATGTATCGCGTGTTTATGCTTTTATCTTCTCATGAAGATTGAGGGCGAAAGTCAACAATTAAAAAATGTGAGAGAAGGAGAGGATCAGACAAAATTAAAACTGTTGTTTTTCTTTGCATTCACATGGCATAGCATGCTAATAATGGAGAAGCTTTCAGCTAAGGTTAATGTAAAGTAGCTTCCAATTCTTGGGACAGAGCATGCTCAGTTAGCCATGTTTAGAAACTTTACCCTCAGCCTGTCACATGCTGAGGGTATGTGACAGACCTGCCCACATAATGACCTGCAGCCGAAGCATCTCCCATCTGTCCAACTCCTGTTTCTTTATTCTTTATTTGCTTATTTGTAGGGGTCGTCTTTTACCAAGGTCTGTCAAACATATTTCGTCCGATCCTGCTAATAAGACTAACTTGCTATAGGAAACCTCTCAGGAGACAATATGAATAACATAACATCCAGGATCATAGGAGTAGTCAAACCTTCCATTGTGTTAAGGTGACTATTATGAAGTGGGATCCATAAGTCACCATTTACTATTTCTAAACTCAATTCCAGTCTGTCCCACAGCCAATGGAATCATCCTGAAGTTGGCTTTCATCTTGAAGTTGGCTTCAGCTGGTGGTAAAGAAATGTTTCACAACTTTTGTGGCATCTGTATGAACTTAGATCGGATCTCTGAGCCAACCCAAGGCATAACAGACTAAGCTGCTGCTAAGGGCCCCACACCAGCATGGGGCCCTACTCTGCTAGAATTCTCAAAGCATTAGATATACAGAAGGAGTCTCTACTTGACAGGTTCATCCACTACTTACCCACTGTTATTTCGTGGACTCTGAAACCACAGCAGTATCTCTAAAAACAACAAAAAGTGCTAACATCTAAATGTATCAAGTGAAGTAACAGATTTATATTATAATTTCTAGTTGTACACTCTAATATTGGTAATGCTAGCCATATAACAAACATTTGGCATTGAATATATGCAAGAAAAATTATCTGTGATGAAGGATGTCAAATTTTATTTGAGCACCTTTAAACACGCAATGTCTGACACACTGATTACTAGTAGAGTTGGAAGCAAACATCTTCCTGGATTTAACCTGAAATATATTTTTCTTTTAGTAAGAAAGTTGCAGAGCGTGTTCTGACATCCAGGTGTTGGATTTATTTGAATGAAACGAGGCCCGACCTGCTTTCGGCCTCACATCAGTTTCTTTTGGATCACATTACGGTGAAACTGAAAAAGCAAATGACCTTCTGCAAAAGGGAAACCAGTGTGTTGGCTTTAAAATGATTCTATTATTTAGCAAGTATGTAATAGAGAGCGCATTCAGTACCTATTGCCTGTGATGCAATTTTGGCCCTTGAAGCTTAAACCATGGGGATGAGCAGCAGGGTCGGCGATGTGGTTTTAGATTGCAGACTCCTCCTCTTTTTTCCCGCCTCTCCTGGGACCGGAGATGCTCCAAGCCAATCCTTCCCTCCATGGGAATATAGGATTCACCTGCCTCAGACACCAGCTGCTAACAGAGTGTGGGTTTGTGTGTGTGTGTTGGCTGCCTATGGTGTAAGAGTCCATGCAGGCAGTGAAGGAAGGACAGAGTGAAAGAGAGGCAGGGAGGAGCAGTGTTCGATAGAGGTTAGTGTTTATCGATTGAGCCCTGAAGCTCCGGTCAACGGACAGACTCCCCCGAGACTGCTTTATCTCTCTCTCTCTTTGTTTCTCTCTCCCTCTCTCTCTCTTTCACTTCCCTTCCCCCACTAAACCTCGGTCTTGTTCTCCCTGTCTCTATCTTCAGTAGAGCAGCTTCGTTTCTCAGACCAACCCTTGCCCTTTTACATGATGATTCAGCTTCGTATTCACACAGCGGTTGAATATTTCTGTGTTTGCCTTCAAACCGCATTGGTGGTTCTCAAACCCTGCATCCAACCTCATGAAAAGAATTAAGACAGTGAGAACCAGAGGGAGGACGGAGAGAAGATGAACGAACCATCATGAGATAAAAGTGAAACTAGAAGGAAAGGACCAGAGAGGGTGGACTGTGGCAAACATTCGTCTAGTGAGAGGGGAAAAAAGCCCCTGACCCAAAGAGGCACAGACTCTACCAGACCTCTAAAGATGTACTGCAGTATCTGGCACCAAGATGTTAACAGCAGATCCTCCAAATCCTCTAAGTGGCAAAGTGGAGATTCAACGGATTGAACTTGCTTGTCCGGGACGTCTGATTGAGACCTGCAGCATTTAAAGACCAAGTCATCACCTTGTATCTAATTCTCCTTAGACTTAAACCATTTCAGCTTTGTGGCAAGGTGCATTATCTTTCAGAAAACTACATCTACATGGAAATGCAGTTTCCACGAACAGGTATAGGTGTAAACATGTAGGTAGTGTCAAAGCAACATTTGACAAAGATACCAGGATCGAAAGTTTCCCATCAGATCCTCTTCACACAGTCCTCTGGCCATCACATCACTTTGTTTTGATCAAACAAGGATTGCTGAAAAACTCATCACAATATAAGCTTGACATTTTAGTGAATATTTATAATTGTCATTCTCAATAATTATTGATTAAATTTTGTTTTCTTTTATATATATATATATATATATATATATATATATATATATATATATATGAAAAACTTTTATCCACAGTGTCTCTCCACCCCGCTGTTTATTTTTAAGCAGGTACAAGTCACTCAGCAGGTTATTGCTAGGTAACCAGAGAGTGAGTGAGTTAGTTGATGTCACTCAGTTAGCTTAGCTCAACAAGAGAGGTCGAACAGCTGATGTCATTCCTGTGCCTGTATCTCCCAGATGTATGTGCAGAATGCTGTGCCGTTCTGGATCAGTGTTCAGTGAATATTGCATATTCTGTCAAAAACTCACATTCACTTGCTTCTGGCACATTAACATTGAAAACAGAATGTTAACTTGCTATCTAATATATTGAACCCGGTAAGAAGTATCACATTGAAAAGAAAATTAAAACATAATCAGTGGTCAAAATGTTATGCCTGGCTAGTGTCAATTCTCATTATGTGACCATCTCTGCTATGTTTTCTTTTTCCCAGGACTGGGCTAAATATCCTAGAGCAAAAGAACAGGAATGTCTTGTCCAATCACAGCTTCAACAGTCTGAGTGCTGCACAGGTCAGTTACCCTGTTGTTCACACTTTACCTACGCACAAATTCACTACCATCTCCTGCCGCTTATTTTCTTTTGTCAATCACAACAATAAAATGAGTCAATAATTAGTCGTTCCACTCACTGTTCACAGATGAAAGCTCGTTGTAAACACAGAGGTCGACCAAGCTGTCTGAGCTCCAGGCTGGCCAGGCGGGTGACCCAGATGAAGCAGAAAACCTCCGCCCAGCGGGAGGCGCCAACAGCCGGAGGGGTGCACAGCAGTGAGGAAGACCCTTCCAAGAATCACAGCCGGCAGGAGGGGAAAGGTGAGGATTTGGTGTGAGCATACATGCAAAGTTGTTGTCCATTAAGCATCTGGGATCCCAAATTGATAAAGCTCTGATTGCTGTTGATCCATCAGATCGACAAGACCGGATGCCAGGTGAGACCATGAAGAAGAGAGGTCGAAAGCCCAAAGTGGTAATGGGCATCAACCCCAACCGGCCTCATCACAGGGAAAGACGGGACACGCATGATGAAAGAGAAGAGAAGAGCTGCAGCGAGAGTTCAGAGCGTGGTGAGTTACTGATTGGGTCTGACAGCAGGATTGTGTCCTGGTACAAATTATTCAATGCTAAATCATACAAAAGTTACAGACAAAATTTTCAATTGGAAAACATATTTTGCAGAGCTGTCACATGCTACTGTTAGCTTTCAGCGTTCATATGTAGTCAATCATGTGAGTCAAACGGTGGACTGATGGGGTTAATGAACATTGACCATTCGGCGTGAGATTTTGCTGCGAGTGTGTGTTTGTGAGTGTTTCATCGAGGCATCTGAGAGTGAGATGTCTGCCGTCATCATGGGGCTCCTCTTTCTGCCCGGCTTGTCTGTCACACTGTTAAAACTGTTAACGACGTACCACAGGCATGCAGCACTGCCACCCCCGGCCCTCATCCTCACACCGTAACGTGAGCCCGTCCAGAATGTCACACCCCCATCCTTCTGTCTCTTCCTCCCAACTCTAACCTCGTGAAAATGCCTTCAGTGGAGGCTTTGAGTTGACGAGACCATCAAATCCACTCTGGTATGGACCTTTTTGTAGGAAGTGCTGATGAGGAGAATGTAAAACTTTGAGGAAACTCAAGAATTCAATCCACCTGTGGCCTTGGCAACCGGCACAGGTGGGATATGTGTGGGTGTAGGGCGAAGTGTTGACGAGAATCCTGAGTAAGTGACAAATGTATTTGAGAAGTGTTGACACCCAAAACACAAATCCTCCTCACAATCCCCCCTCAGCTGAGTGTCAGCAACACTCAGCTGCCAATAACAATCTGTTTGTGTGTACACACAAGAAATGGTGGCTCTGGTCTCAGACTGGTACTCGAGTCACACTGAAGATGCAAAAGTAAAGACTTCAGACTTCATTTTGACTTGTGCTGTTAAGACTGAGATTCTGGATCTGGGAACAAGATTTCATGAACTCTCTTTACCTCTTGTAATAACTGGTGAAAACCCTGTAGATGGCTTATAATTATCTGTTCCTGCTAGCTGTAGCTTCATGGATGTCTCTCAAGCTGAATTAGGCCTTACAGCTATTGTTCTCTTACTGGTATGGTAGCAAAGACTTTCAAAACAAAAGCAACTTTTTCTCAGAAAGCAAAACTCTTTCTCATTCACTAAATATTTTATGCCGCGCTCTTTACTGTGTAGATTACAACTGACCTTGAAACACATTTACTATAAAGAATCAAGAACAGATTAAAATTACAATTTAAGTGCAAGTGTCAACATTTAAAGAAGGAAATGATGCACATCAGGTTTGGGCTGCACAGGTGTGGAGCTATTTGCACTGTTCCAGGTTCAAATCTCCTAAAGCAATCATAGCAGGTGTTCTGAACATATTGAAGCTGGTAATAGTTCCAAATCGCAGATCTGCTGACAGAGAGAGTGCTTTGAGCAAAAGTGTTTCTATAGAAGGGAACTTTACAGTTCCTGTTAAAACCCACTCTGGTAGATCTAACGCTTCCCTGCAAATTCTGTATAAATTGCTTAACAGAAGTCAGTTTAAACACTTAAAACTGGTGATTTATAAAATTGAAAAAATCCAGACTACAGAATTCAGCCAGAATACATCGGTGATGAAATCTGATTGTCTTTTGACATAAAACATCCGAGGCCCGAATATCGTAGAGACTCTGGCTGTTAGCAACGCTCACGTAAAAGTCACTGGAGGTTCTCTGACTGATGACTCCGATGCTGACATTTCACAGAGGAGGAGGTTGGCAGTGACGACAGCGAAGACGAAGCGGGTGACATCAAGATTACCTCATCCTCTAAAGAAGCTCTTGCAAACTCCGCTGGGACGTTTCCTTTTTCAGCTCAGTCCTCCAAGCTCCAAGCAAGCCTGAAAGCCAGGAGCAAAAGGCCTGGACCTCCTGGTGAGAGATTACATGTGCTCGTAATTTGCAGGAGTGGAAGTTGTAACGTAACTCCACACTGCCTCTTTCAGTTTTTTGTCTACAGTCACACCTATTGTAACCTGAAAGTAACTGCAACATATCTTTACCTTCTTTAATATTCCATCCTCATCCTCAGGCCTGGGAAGCTTCCCCTGCATGCAGCAGAGGAGTGCAGCCAGGCGGCCAAACTTCAGCAACTTGGACAGGGGACATCCGGACCACATGGGGGCTACTAAAGCCTCCCTCCCCAGCTGGGGTGTGCCATCAATAGGCTGCAACTTTGGAGAGAGCCACAGCAACCACCGAGCTCTGACCGAGGCAAAGAGACTCAAAGACAATGAGAGGAAGACCTCTGCAGGACAGAGCTTAAGAGGGAAGGTGAGGCCTTACACATGGGCTATGTTAACACGTACGGATTCATCTGTTGAAGTCTGCACATTTTTATAACTAATATCTAAAAATGTAACTGCTATTAATGGTCGCTTATGAAAAACAACAGAGTATGAGCAGAAATGTCAGCTGTCAGAGAGTAATGAAGCAAGAAAGGAGAGGGGTGAGTCATGAGAGGTTACTCCCTTTGGCCTTTTGTTCATCTAAATAAATGCCAGGAGGCAGAAAAGCCTGAAGGACTTTTGAAAAGCGCTCACTTAAAGGCGCTGAGGTGAACCACACCCGGTCAGGAAGTCTGACGATCATGTAGCTTTACAGTGACACCCCCCTGTAATAGCACATACTGCAAAAAATTAAATAAATAAATAATGGGCCCTATATCTGAGCTATTGGGCCCATTTTATGCAACAATTTCAAACAGCAACTTTGCTCCCATTCTTTTCTACTGTAAATCTTGCTCTCTCTTGCCCCATTGCAGCCTAAAGATGTCCACTCATTATCTAAAACATAGTCTGTCTTTGGTTTGTTGTTAGTGTGGTGTGATCTTTGCAGACTGATACTTGCTCCGGTGTATCAGGGCAAGAAAAAGAAAGAATAGACTTAAATTTTGGCAGAAGCCGTTATTGACTATAAAGAGGTTGTTTCCCTGCAGAGTTTGTGCCGCGGTGGAGCAGACCCAGTCGAAATCATGTTTTTGGACTGTGAGAGGAAGTCAGAGTATCTGGAGAGAACTCATGCCTTCATAGAGAGAACATGCAAGCTACATGCAAAACGGCCCCAGGCTGGGATTTGAACCCAGAAACTTCTCGTTGCAGGGCAACTTTGCTCCCCAACCGTAGATATGTTGTAGAAAATACATCTTCCTTTTAAAAAGTTTTTTGCGTCTCTGTGTTCCCCTAAACTTTTATCTTTTGTGACTTAAGGATAAAAATAGGCTTCTCACTTACTCTCAAAGTACATTTGCAAAAAAAAATTATAACTGCACAATATTGTTAAATACCAAAATGAGTGAAAATCCCTAACTTTAAGTCTTGTACTTTCTAAGGTAGCATAGTTATGCTTCTTGGTGCTTTTACTGTCTGGAAAAATGCAGGACTTTTGTCCTGCATTTTGTCCAGCTTGTCATTGATCAGCCTGGAAATGAGACAGTTTTCTGTTGCTTCTCCAGTCATTCTAGAATATTTGTATGAATGTGGTGTGTGTGAAGAGGCTGTTTCATTCTCTCTGAGCAGCAGCGATGAGGCACCTATATTTACCTTCATCTGAAATGCCCTGAGGTTTCAGTCCTTTTGAGTCATCATATGGGAATGTCCAAAAACACATAACTCCAAACCAAACAGAGGAATATGAAGATAATCATTGGCCATAACTCTGCACACACCCATGCATGCTTACACTCACACACACTCGGCGGTACTAACGGGAAACAATCCTCCATGCCCTCTGGTGATGAAACTTCTGTCACTAAAATATACGGTCTCCTGGTGTGGAAAACTCCAACACACACATGCACACGCACACACACACCATCTCACCTAGATTATTATGGTCTTTGGAAAGTCTAAATACAAGCAGAAACCTGTTGGGTGAGCTGGCTTTTTATCATCACTCATTTGTCATCTTTAGACAGACCAGCTCAAACCGGTGTAGAGATGGGTAGGATCTGGTGTGTACTGTGTGTGTGTGTGTGTGTGTGTGTGTGTGTGTGTGTGTGTGTCCACCTGAAGTGAAGCGCCATGTAGCAATAAGCCCGAAACCCAGTCCATTCAGGGGCAGCAGTTATTACTGACTGTGACCTCAAACTTTCAAGTGAACTGCGCAGAATGAAGGGGGAAGAAAACAGCTTAGGGCCTAATTGAAGCATCATATTACTGGCGACGTTGGTCCCAGCGGTTACACCTCACCAATATGTTCACTGCCTTAGTCAAATCTGACAGGAACAGACCAGGTTTGCTCACCTGAAGGTCCTGTTTCTGTCGACTCATTTGCGTACACAGGTTTTCTCCCAGAACCTCGGTGGTAGGGATGCCAGGGCAGTCCATCAGCAGACCATCGTGTTTTTGAGTTAAGAAATGTTTGAAATTACAAAAATTCAGAGGTGCACAAGCAGGCATCATAATTTGAAGATAATAGCTTGTGAGGCCAGCGGGCGGGTACAGGAACGGCGCCCAGTTCAATGCATCAACTATAAACCCAGCTTAATCCATCTTTACTGTATGAAAAACTGCACATAAAGTAAACAAACCACCCTAGACTGGTGGGTAGGCGTGGGCAAGTAAAGCCTGGTGACCCTCTTGTAATACACTGGAGGAAAGTCTGGTACATAGTGGAACTATGTTCTGTTTTCTCCCTGACTGATGTTGATGCTGACGATGGCGGTAGGTGTTCGTCTTGCAATCGGTGGGTTGCCTGTTCGATCCCCGCACTGTCTGCCTCTGTAATTATGTCCTAGGACAATATTGTCCACCGTCACTGCGCGACTGTGTGCATAAATCGGTGAATGATTTATAGTACAAAGCACTTTGGAGTCCTCTTGACTTGATAAAGCTCTGTACTGTTCATTTACCGTTTACATCCTGTTTCCCCTCCGGTCAGGAAAAGGGTCATGGAGTGAGCAGGCTCCTGCAGAGCTTCACGGCTGATGAAGGTTTCCGATTGGATGAGGAGAGCAGTTTCTCGGAGGGGGAAGAAGAGGATGAGGAGGACGACAGGCAGAAGGAGAAGTCCCTGTCCCATCTTCCCCCCAACATGCCTTCCAGAATACCAGGTGAGGATAAATGCATGCCTCTGTACCCGACTTACAGTCCCTGCCTTAAGACGTTACAATTCATCAACTCGATCTGAAATGAATGTCTTTGTTTCCTTTTATCTCCACCATCAATCCCTGAACTTTCACATCACCTGGCTGCAGCGCTGCCAAACTGTGTGCTGAGTAAAGAGATGCTGGTGGATGGCCTGAAGATCCTAATCTCCAAGGAGGACGAGCTGCTGTATGCCGCGTCGGTTCAAACCCTGGACCTGCCTGACATGTACAAGCATGTTTTACTCCCATCGTTCACAAGCACACTCACAATCTTTAAGGGGCTTTCACCGCCTTTTTCCAAAATTTGTGACGCAATGAGTCCATTTGGGTGACATACTCCAAACAAAAACTTAGTCATGCCCAACATATGAATGTGTGGCAGCATTAAGGGTGATCAGAACAGGACAAAAAGGATGTTAAAAGACTTCAAAGCTTGGAAGCGTCGCAGCATATGCCAACACATCTGCTAATAGAAAAAATAATTATATGCCTGCAAGTCACAAAACTCCTGCCTTCACAACACACGCTGCAGATTAAGCTCTGAAAATTATTTACAAATTCAAATGACAGTTTGGTATACATTCCTGTATAATTACAATTTCCTTCTCTCAGCTTCAGTGTCGTCATTGAAGGGGAACGGGGAAATCGGCCAAGGATCTACTCACTGGAGCAGCTACTGCAAGAAGCCGTGAGTCAGACCACATGGCATTTTTTTTATTATTTTATGATTAACCTTTTTATTTGCTTCCTGAAAGCTTTGTGTGTGCTTGCTTCCAGGTGTTAGACGTGCGACCCCAGACGGAGGTTATTCTGACGGAGGGAACCCGAGTGTGTGCCTACTGGAGCGAACGCTCACGCTGCCTGTACCCCGGCTACGTCCACCGTGGTGAGATGACCCCTCTGTCCTCTCACCAGCTCACTCTGTTCCTGAAACTCATATTTCTGTGTCCGCCCTTCAGGAGGTCCAGGTGAGGAAGAGAAGGAGAAGGAAGGGAGCGTGATGGTGGAGTTTGATGATGGAGACCGAGGAAGGATTTCCCTTGTAAACATCAGACTTCTTCCTCCTGGATACCAGATCCGCTGTAAGTGTGGAGTTATGGGTAACCGTTGCACTTTTTAATTCACAGGGGAAAAAATGACAAAGACATCATTCTTACATGAAATCATGTGCAACGCAACTACTGAATCCTCTGTTGCTCTAACTTAGTGCACCTGTCTTTAGCTAACAAGGCATGGAAGAAGCCTTGTGATCATTTCTAAATTTATTTGGCTTTGTGTTTTACATCCAACTAAAGCACCCAGAGAGGCTCAGTTTACAGGTTTCTGGTAGATGTTATTTTTGCTAAAAATAACATCGGAACACTGTGAGATTTAGTGGTAGACTAGGCAGCCCAAATACAGAGCCCAGAGGTCCTCAATGCAGCCACCCAAAAAGCTCAACTTTGGTCTAAGCTGACCAAGATTCTAGTTTAAGTCCCTGTAAAGTACATGGAACACCTCTTATTTGCATTTGTGGTGGTAGGACAGGAAAGTCGGTTTCTTGGCACGACTCAGAACAACCAGTTGGCATGACGATAGTGTCTGTCTTTTGTTATGAAAACCTGGTGACCCTCCATGAGTGTTGGAGATTCTGTAGCTCCCTTATCATAACTCATAACTTTTTAAATTCTTGCTCTGACTGTAGATATGAGTGAATTTTGGCAGGTAGCTTTGTCCTTACCCAATTCTGGCTCTGGAAGATCAACTACACTGGACCTTACATGACTGGCGTGTGCTTTTGTTTTCCCCATTTTGAAGAGTATGTGAGAGAAATCTGATGTGGTTTCGTGTTCCAGGTGCAGAACCGTCTCCAGCTCTGTTGATCTCTCCGGGCCATCGGGGTCGGCGAAGCGCTACGGCAGAGAAGAAAGACACAGAGAAACTAGCCAATGAGGAGGCAGGAGGGAAGCCCCAGGAAAAAAGACCAGGTACATAGTTGGGTTATGATCACTGCTTTTCCAACAGCCCATTTTCCATATAGTGACTAGTTATTTGCAATCCAGTGCTATTTTAACTCCTACACATAGTCTAAAGGCCCTTGAGGTGCATTCACTGAAAAAAACATTACAGTTTCAGTTGTTTGTTAATTATCAAATGCCTTCAGGTCACAGGTGAGCCCAGAGCAGCTTTATTAACTGAAGGCCTCATAAATTAAGATGACTTTTTTGCCGCCTTTTATTTAGCCTCCATAAAAAACACATAAATCATGGCTTTATAGAGTTTCATAAGGGTACTTTGTAAAGTTAGCTAACATCACAAGTCATCGCAAACTAAAAGTGACAATAAACCTGGGGGAGGAAGACAGGTTTACCAGGTTTGTTGCAGTTTGAGTAATGGAGCTGTCGAAACTAGGTGAAGATCAAGGAGATAGAGATTAAGTTTCACCAAAGCTTTTAGTTTCATAATTAATCAACATTTGCCCTTAGGATTTTCTTCCTTATTGATTTCAGCCCCCATCTCCATTCCTTTCTTTTAGTTGGCAGGCCAAAGAAAACATACTCAGTGCCAAAGACAGCCAACTTATCAAGCTCAGCAACCAATTCTGTGATGAAGGGAAATGTTCCGCTGTTGAACTGGTCCATGCCCAGAAAGAGACCACCAATGGACTTCTTCCTCTTCAATGGGACATCCCGTAAAACCCAGAAGAAGATTAGGGAGAGAGACTTGGGCTTGTTTCACCGGCCAGTCCTGCATTCTCTAGCACCTCCAACCCCTATTAAAAGCATTTTTGGCACTGCATTTGAGGTTGACTCATTCAGTAGCATCGCTAATGGCTACTCAACCTTTGGGAACGGTGGAGCCTCTGTAGCCGGGAGACCAGTCACCGCCATGGGTTCCATGGGCCTCCGGGACTCGCCTTGTTCCTCATCAGTTACCATGGCCGCGGCAGCTGTGAGCCGCAAGCCTCTGAGTGAACGTGACAGAAAACACTTCTTAGTGAAGCTAGACCATGAAGGAGTGACTTCCCCCAAAACCAAAAATGGAAAAGCTTTGCTGCGGTTTGGAGGAGGAGGAGGGAGAGGAGTGAAAGGCCTTGCATCTACTGTACCACAACGGTACATCCAACCTTCTCTTCTGGCAAAACATGACAAGAAGATGGGAGAGAAAAGGGAAAGCAGCGCCAGGCCTCGGTCTGAGACCCTTCGGAAGGGCAGTCCACCTCTCAGGAAAGATGTTCTCTCTGCAGGACTTGGGGTGAAAGGTGGAGATTACAGTTTGGACTACCCTAGCGACTGCCCCAGCTCTTACTCTGAACTGGATGAGGAAGACGAGGACGATGGTCAAGAAGCAAGACGGAGACGAGCAGCCGTCTCATCCCATCGGGGCGGTCGTTTTCTATCCCGTCCGTCCATCTGCTTCTCTTCATCGTCCTCCTCCTCTTCTTCATCTGGTTCCATTTCCTCCTCCTCTCTGTGTTCCTCGGACAACGACTCCTCCTACTCGTCCGATGAAGAGTCATCGTCTGTGCTGCTGCGGCGGGCGCTTCTCCAGCAGGACAAACAGAAGAACAGGCAGAACGTCAACTCCGGCCTCCGGAGCCCCGATCCCACCACCTCCAACCCCGCTTCAACGTCGCCTAATGGCTACGTTACCAAAGCTGGTGTAGCCATGGGAGGATTGAAGGCAAGAGCCGACAGAGCGGAAGACAGGAAAGAGTACATCTCCAAAGAAAGCATGATGGTCAGCAGCAGAATGACTAAAGTGCAGCTGAAGAGGAAAGAAAGTTCTTCTAACGATCACCATCAGGCCCAAAGCAGCCCTGCCAGCCAGCAGATGAAACCAGCCAACAAGGACTCAGCAGCCACCAAGAAGCAGAGAATGTCTTCGCCTGAACCTCTTCCAAAAATGGCCGCCCTGCTGCCTGGACGCCAGCTCTGGAAATGGTCTGGCAATCCCACACAGGTATGACATTTTGTGGCATTTTTTTACTAGAGGTTTTTTGCATCCAGTAATTTGTTCATTAGAAAGATCAAGACTTTTATGATCTGAAATAAGCTATGTTGAGTTTCAGGAACCCCTACTTAATTCCACTGGATAAAGCAGAAATGTTTATGGAAATTTCTGTTTCTCTTTAATTCTTTTTCTGTCAATAAATGTGCTGAAATGCCATCCACTAAATACATAAGTAAATACATTTTTTGATACAAGTAAAGTCTAAATAGCTGAAACATTTTCTTGCTCCATTCAGTTAGTTTAATTTTAAGCACCTTTTTAAGCGAGGTTTTGTAAAAAGGTTGCAGAAGATTTGCATTTGACTGAAATCTGTGAAGACATGAGAGAACTCTGAAAATGCTAATAGCTGTCTATTTTAATAGTTCAGTGTACAAATACATCTTAATGCGTATGAATATACACAATGGGAATCGTTTTGGCACTACTGCAGAAGCTAATATCCATGGTCAACCAATCAGTGTCATTCCCCAGCACTGGATTGGCTGCTTTGCAAATTCTAGCCGAAAGCGTGCCAAGTGTCATTGTACCGAGGTATATCAACTTCCCAAGCTGCATTTTAAAAATATGTTTTTTAGATATGCTCCACCAATCAAATTAGTAAATAGGCTGATTTTGTCGTTTCACAGAAATATGCAAAAAAGAGATAAATACTGAACCAAGAACTGTCGGGGTCCACTGTAAGCTGTGAATATCGTAGCTACAGTAGCAGAAAGTCTTGATGTCTGCATTTAGCATAAACCCAGACTGCTACAGGACTCTCCATTCTCTGTTAGACCCAAGAAATGTATCATTTTACTCAATTTCTTTCAGGGCAGAATATTACATTTTTCCTAAGAACCTGAAATCCCCCTTAAAAATCAAACCTGCTGTTTTACTGACTGAAAACAACTGAGTGAATCAGGCGTTTTGTTTTGTTTTTTTGCAGAAATTTTTGTTTTGCATTGCAAAGACACATTACTTTCTCCTACATTTGTGTTCAACAAAGCAAAGCTAAATTGAGCTATAAAAAAAAAACAACACATGGTGAAAAAAAGTCACCGCTATTTGCTGTTTCTCTAACAGAGAAGAGGTCTAAAGGGTAAAGCCCGTAAGCTTTTCTACAAGGCCATCATGCGGGGCAAGGAGATGGTGCGTGTCGGCGACTGCGCCGTGTTCCTGTCACCTGGTCGGCCCCAGCTGCCCTACGTGGGAAGAGTGGAGAGCCTCTGGGAGTCGTGGAGCTCCAGCATGGTGGTCAGGGTCAAGTGGTTCTACCACCCAGAGGAAACTCGCCTGGGGAAGCGACACCGTGATGGCAAGGTAAGGCTGGAAAGTGCAAGGATCCTTTCTACACATATCTAGACTGTGGTATTTTAAGAGTAATGCAAAACCACATTGGTACTTTTCATTATTATTTCTAATTTTCAGATCAGAACAATGTATGCATTTGTATTTCTGACATTGTTTTAAATGGAATGTTTACTGTAGATTTTACCATGGACTTGATATAACATTCATGCTGAGCTGTAACGCCTTCTATTAAACCTGCAGTATGTACATTTAAAAAATAGTTGTTTTTCCATGTCTATTAAAACCGTTATCACATTGTATCAATTTGGGATGAGACAGATAATCTCAACAAAAAACATCAAGCTCCTCCACCTTAGCCAAAACCCTCCTCTAGCTGTGATTGGTTGTTTCTGGCAGAGCGGAGTTGGTATTGGAAGAACCATCATGCTAACAGCAGTTCTCTATGACTGATTATCTGTGATATGTTACTGTTATAATATGTAAAGAAATTATTATTAGTATTATTTTTATAAAAGTTACATACTGCAGCTGTAAAGGGTCTCACATTGTCAGGCGTATCGACCAAATTCTGTGGGCCACATGGAACCATGAGCTTGCTGTTCACAGGCGGTTGAAATTTCATAGTCATTACCTAAATTGTCTCAATTTCTCATGACGAATTGCTACATTTCAAACAATATGAATAGATACAGTACAAGCAAGTTTGACATACTAGTGTCTTGACCACAAGGACAGTCACTGCACATCTGCAAATGTGTACAGAGAGTGGCAATCCTGCTGTGCATTACCCCAGTGGTTGCACCTTATCAGCACAAAACTCAATTTGATTTTAACATTGTTTCCTGAGTCATAAAAATTGAGTTAGCAGGCGTCCACTTTTAGTCTGCCTGAAGTATGCCTGGTGTTCCATAGAGTGAAGTGCAACCAAGCATGCTAGAAAGTTTGCACAAATCCACCAGAGTACAAAAATGTAATCTTCCAGGGTGCTGTGGTGGCGCAGGGGCAAAGCACAACCCACATATTGATACCTTAGTCCTCACACCAGTGGTCACAGGTTCGACTCCCAGCCTGGTGACATTTGCCGCATGTCTTCCCCTTTATTTGTTACCCTCTTTCCTGTCGAACTACTTTCAAATAAAGCCCACAAGAGCCAACAAAAACATTATCTTCCAGTTTTGCTTTCCATGAGAGAGTTCTCATTATCCTTCTCTGTCTCTTTCCGGCAGAACGCTTTGTACCAGTCGAGCCATGAGGATGAGAACGATGTGCAGACCATCTCCCATCGTTGCCAGGTGGTCAGCAAAGTGGAGTACGATCACCTGATGCGTGAACGTAAGGCGGGCGGCCCCTCCAACGACCTGTTCTACCTGGCTGGAACCTACGAGCCCACCACAGGCCAGCTGGTCAGCGCGGACGGCATGGTGATCTTGTCCTAGCACCGCTGGGGGAAGCAGATATCCAACACGATTGCTGGAGTTCTTCTAGACAGAGGCAAGATGACGCTTGATTCCGTGGATGAACTCACTTTTTTGGATAAAGAGTGAGCCAGTAGTTCAGAGGAACGGACTGGCCCAGGCCACATTTACCCAGGCTCCTTGTCTTACCCAGAGTTTCAACCCTTCTCTGGGGCAACCAAACACGAGTACTTTGGACTGGAACGTCTTGGAAGTATTCCAACAGGAGGGCTTTCTGAAGCAAAGAGACTCAACGCTAAGGAGAGACATGCTGTAAACCACACTGGTTTGGATGGATGTAACGGTCTTATACATGTAGTCTGACTCGGACGACGCTATTTAAAGGCCCCCAATAGGACCAATAAACACTGTAGTTTGGACTTAAATGCATATATGTTTCTGCAGAGTGACTGTGATGGCATTTAATGAACTTTTAATGCACATTATCAGTGCTTGCGTTTGTACAGTTTGTGACGTCGAGCGACGACACGATGTCACCAGACTCTAATAATCGATTCAGTGCTCGACGACTTTAGTTGTCGGTCATTAACGACCAAAAGGCCGAACCAAGTTTTCCTCCTTTGAAGCCATACACATCAATACCTCTCTATCGCCGTCTCTGTCATGTCCGCCTGTCCGGGCGCAGGCAGTAGGATTGTTTATTTGAGCTGTGTGTGTGTGTGTGTGTGTGTGTGTGTGTGTGTGTGTGTGTGTGTGTGCCTGGGCAAATGTGTATGTGCTTTTTACAGCATTCTATGTAGAGTAACACGCTGTAACATAGTATATAAATATAAATATATAAATATATATAAATTTATGTTCATGTGGTTTCCTTTGCAGAGATTATTTTATTTTAGAGTTTTCTGGGGATGGTGGGTGTTTTTGTGTGTTGCAGAGGAAGAAGGTGGGCTAATGTTTTCTTCTGTATAAATGCACTGAATAGGACTAGAGGTGTGTTTGGGGTGAAGCTCTGCAACCCATGTGATGATTTAGTGGCTGTAGCTCTAGGCAAAAAGTAAATATGTAGAAAAGGTGTTTGGAATATTTTCTTTTTTTAAAAAAACAAAAACAAAAAAAGCTCTTTTTTATACATGTTTAGTAACTATTTTATTCTTTTTTTTGTTGCTTGTTTTAATCGATTGGAGTTAGAATGTGCATTTCTTTTCACTTCTGTTCAGCAAATACCAGAAAAGAAAGTTGCATTTCTGCCTAAATCCTGAAAACAAAAAACAAACTAAAAAAAAAAAAATTAAAAATCCAGTTCTTGCCTGTTTTTAGCCTGTGGAAAGTGTAGACACTTATCTGGCAGCAAAAAGAAACATACCAAAGCACCTGTGACTTTACGCTACACCCTATTAGATCAACAACAATAAAAAGAAAGTATAAAAGACGTTCAATCAATTCTGAAACCGGGACCCCTGCAATCTCAGAGGGATTTCCTCTCGTCCTGTCCGCATTCATCCGGTGTTCGCGGAGACGGTGTCCGCATGCCACCCAGCTGATGCACTTGAGGTCTCTATGGCAACCAGTATGGCATCACGTGACCCTGTAGGACAATCAGAGCCAATCAATGGGACGATGTTGGGAGACAAAAATACAAGAGAAAAGGATCAAATCACAAATTTATGCTTCTTGTCACTTTTATTCACGCTTTGCCAAAAACAAAAAATATGTCTGTACATTTTTTGTGTTTATGTTTCCTTTTGTTTTTCATCATCATCTTCTTGTTTATGCAAGCCTGGATGACTGTTTGTTGTATAGGATGTACAGGAGGAGGAACATAAATGCCTTTTTTCCCTTTTTGAGGACTGACTGACTTTTAACAGCATCTCTGCTGTTACACTGCAAAGCAAAAGCTTTAAATGGAACCTAATGTGAAACTCAGCTTTGAACTATTGCTTTTATGGGTCTTTAATTGATTGATTTTTTAAAGCTGTATTTTCTTTAAGAAACACTGGATTGAATTCTGATCATCACATTTCAACGGGAGGTGGGGTTTGGGGTGGGGAGCATCATTGTGTGTTTTTTGTTTTTAGACCCACTGGAATCTGCTTTGTATGGTTAAAATAGCCTACGAAAATATATTATGTAATTTCAGTCATTCATTGGAAATATGACTAAAATATTTCCTTGTGTACAAAAAGAAAAATATTTATCTTAATTTTATTGCCTTTTATTGCGTTTCATTAAAAAAAAAAGGATTCTTAAGAATGAAAGCGTCTGAACTGCTTTTCCTTTCACCTTTCCTGCAGCGTGTGCTGCTCTCTGAATGCGGCCTTGTGTGCATCAATGCCAAGCCAGACGTGAGGACACAGAGCGCAGTGGCAAGCAGGAATAAAGAGGTGGAGGCTGTGAGGGTGGGGCAGGAGGAGGGGGGCTCAAAAGAAGGGAAGCAATTTGAAACTGTAGCTCCAGTTTGATAGGAGGGGAAGAAGCAGGAGAGAATGGGAAACTGTATCTGGTGTTTGATGGGGGGGAGCGAGGCAGGATGTGGAGCCTCCTCTCCGGCTCCTCAGGTGGGTCAGGTATTCACAGCAACACAAAAACGGAACAGGACCATTAATAGAACAAAGCTGTGGGGGGTGGGGGTTGGGGGGGTGGTGGAGAAGGGGGGTCGGGGGGGCTATCGGCTTTCAGGCTGCGCTCACAGCTTTCACACACTGACTGTGGCCAGCACAGAAAGTATTCAAGCCCCTGTAACTCGTAGCATGTCATCATTAGAACATGTCTCAATCAGTTTGGTTGTTCATCCCTTTAACAAAAAAAAGTCAAATCTGAAAAGTGTGGTGTGCATTTGTGTACAACTCCCACTTCTACCCCTAAAGAAAATCCAAATGGAATCAAATGACATATAGTTTCTCCCTGTGTGTAATTTTATGTGAATACAAGTATATCCACAGCATGATGCTGCCACCACCATGTGGCATACAGAGCATTTCCCATATAGGCCAAAAATGGGGCTACACATGGCTTGTGACAAATAAGTAAAGGATTTGTGGAGGACACGGCCAGTAGTTGTCAGGAACTCATCGGCCCTTGGAGACCCCGAAGGGGTCGTCTTTTCACACGACCCCTTCGGTGTGTGTGCCGCTCCCACATGCTCATCAGAGCGCGCTGCAATAGGTGAGTCAGTTTCAGCCTGGAGACCAGCTGGGATTATGGCCTCCAGAGTGTTGATCTTCCAGGACAAAGTGTTCACTTTTTACTGCGTTACTTGAGACTTCCTGCGACGTATTCACACCTTCTTATCGTACTGTAACTGCAGCCTTCGGTGTGATCATAGCAATCATCTAAGGGGCATTTACCTTTGACCTGGAACAACCGGGCCGTCTCATGGCACGGCTCGAAGGAAGCTGACACGCTGCGTTGCCGTGTCAACGTAAACTTTACCTCACTTTTAGTGGATTTTTTTAGTGGCGGTGCCTCCTTCAAACGTTTGCCTTTTTGCCCTCAACTGGCTCAGTTTTTACTTGTCAGTTCAGAAAAAAGCGCCTGACCAACAGACCAGGGTCATAAATTAAGACCTTACAAACATTTACTTATTATTCATTTACTCAATTACAACCTCTTTGTTCAGTTCTCTTTTAGCCGTTTGGCAGTTTGTTATTGCAAAGATATGAAGCAGTGCTCCTAACACACACACACACACACACACACACACACACACACACACACACACACACACACACACATGCCCCCATTCTGCTCCCTGTTGGTCTTTTACATCCTCCTCATTGGCTCCTCAATCAGCCCACGCCTTGAAAATACACAGACATTTAGTGTGGTCTTTTGGCTCCTTATCAGCAGGTTTGCATTGGGCTTATCTAGTTGACATTGTTAAACTACTTTACCCAGAATGCTGCAGGAGATATGGGCACAATAGTCGGCTTGGGGGTGCAGGGGGGGGGGTCTTCTGGGTTAATGAGAGAGGCTTTCAAGTTGTAAGAGCAAATATGCTGCTCGCTGATTTGTGTGTGTGTGTGTGTGTGTGTGTGTGTGTGTGTGTGTGTGTGTGTGTGTGTGTGTGTGTGTGTGTGTGTGTGTGTGTGGTGTGTGTGTGTGTGTGTGTGTGTGTGTGTGTGTGTGAAGGGTCAAGGTGTCGCAGGAAGGTGTGGTAGCTTTTATTGTATTTTTTTGCAGGAGGGGCTGGGATTCCATTTTGAGAGGGTTTTTCTGTTTTGTTTTATGAAATGCTACAGAAGAGAAGCTGAGGAACTTTAAAGGGGTGAAAAGATAAACGGTTTAAACCGAAGCGCAAAAGGAGGAATGGAAGCATAACTGTATGCAGAGCTGTGCCTCAGAGGGGGGGCTCCAATCATGAGAAAGCCCTCCATTTAGATATAGTCTGAGCATGTCAGGGAAGTGAATGGATGGCTGTCAGCTGCAGTGAGGTGTGTACATATCCCTGTGTTTGTGTGTGTGTGTGTGTGTGTGTTTGCCAGGATGTATTCGGGTCAGCATGGGGGTAAGGAGATCAGCGGTCCCGTCCGCATCACCTCATCCATCGCTCACATGAGCCGCAGCGAGGCTCACTGCCGCCGCCGGACCGTAAGGCAGAGACACTGTAAACGTCCTGCAGCCAATCGGACTCCATTCCAGTTGTACAACATATTCCACGGCGACAGATGGTACACTCACATAAATCAGGAATTCTTGGCAGAGTGGAAGTCATGCGCATGTTCTCCACATTACAGCATCTACAAATGTTTCAGTTTTTCTTTTTCTTCCCCCCTCTCACCTCATCCTGCTAGTTTTATGACTTGTTTCTCTTTCTCGATTGTTACACAAAGAGTTCCAAGGAAATTTTCTGACATCTATATTTCTCTCTTCCACCATGAGAAGATAAGGCGAATGCATAATGTTGGGGGTTTCTCTCCCCCCCCCCCCACAACTTTTCCAGTTGAGCAGAACTTTTGGGCGTGGCTTTTTACCTCATCAGAAGCATAATCCTGTTGTGCGGTTTGGGCCCCAAACCCAGGCAGGTCATTCTGAGTTGATGACTTTATGGAATATGCAAACGTACAAAATCTGGAGGTTACATGAAGGGAAACAGACAAAGAGCAAACCGGCAAGGCATGAGGAAGACAGAGGAGACAGAACAGAACAGACAGACATAAATACTGGGGAGATTGATGACTGAATTGTAGAGCAGGTGAGTCTAAATAGTGGATGATGAACAGTTGAGAGCGAAGGCATTGAGGGAAAGTCACGACTACAATAAAGAACCCAGAAATTACGGAGGATAAACTTTACAAAAAAACATAAAACCACAAACCCTGACAGCCCAGAACACGAGTAAATACAAGATTCTACTACAATGTGAAATAAACCATGAGTGACACAGAACTCTGAACCAGACCAAACAGAAACCATCCTTCAGATCATAACAGGTTCTGATCTGAGCCAGCAAATATCATACATTTTTAAGAAGGTTGATGTTCAAGTTATTCCAAAAGCTTATAGTTTTAGGCGACTTGATTTTCTCTAGAATCAGGTTCAATTAGAGTTTGGGATCACTGGTGTCTTGAAACGCCCAACTGAGTTATTCACTGTTGACTTGAACAGACTGTGAAGAGTTTGCAGCCAGTGTTGCTTTTAGATTTATGTGACTGTTGACCATGAGAGATCACTGAAGTGAGTGGAGAGCAGGGTCAGAGTCTCTGGTCCAGTACGTAACTGGTTCAAGTCTCACCTAAAGAACAGAGATTTCTTAGCTAACTTCCCTTCAGAGTGGACAGGAGTCACATGTGGCGTAGCCCAAGGTTCAGTCCTTGAGCCGCTTCTGTTTTATGTTTACATGCTCCAGCTGGCTCAGGTTGTGACAAATTATAAGATGATACATCTTTACATCACAACGTCACCATCCAAGCACTGAACAGACAATGAGAGCATGTCAATGTGTGGATGTGTCGTAACTGAAGAGAAACTAAATCAAAGTCATTATCTTTGCACCTGAACTAGAGTCAATGCGCAGCTTCAGTTATTACAGACAGAAACCAGTGATCAGGCTGAAATCTGGGAGGAGGGATGACCTCTGACCTGAAACTTTAGAGCTACATGAAGAAAGTTACAAAGTCGACCTTCTATCACCTGAAGAACATTTCAAGGATTAAAGGACTAATGTCTCAACAAGAGCTAAAGAAGCTCATACATATACACACACACACACACACACACACACACACACACACACACACACACACACACACACACACACACATATATATATATAATATATATATATATGAGAGTGAGAGATGAGATACATCTAATTGCTCTTCTTTCTGCTGAGCAGCTCCTGCAGCAGCTATTGCTGGTATCTGATATTTGGAATAGTAGAAGGTCCGCGGTGGCCCGCTGGCTGCCTGGACCGGCAGTCAGAGTAGGTCAAACATCCTGTAAAAGTCTTGGTGAACACAGCAGCCTCGGCCACAGACACCTGATAGCAGCTGTGTGTGGATCCTGTGAGTGTGATATTCCTGATATGATCTTGATACAGGCTGAAATTAACAGAGTCGGTTGCCAGGCTCGTCAGCTCTGCCTCAGCGACAGGAAGACGGAAGATATCTGCAGAGTATCAGAAATAAACCGCCGCTGCAAATACACCACACACACACACGCACACACACACACACACACACACACACACACACACACACACACACACACACACACACCCACACCACACACACACACACACACACACACACACACACACACAACCCAGGCCTGTATGATGTTTCCTCTTGAAGTGCTGTCAGCCCACTGCGGGGGTCATCAAAATGCCTGTAACGTTACACTGATGTCGATTTAATATGTACAGTAAATTAAAGTGACACCTGAACGCTGCGACAGTGTTTGAGGATTTATCACTTCACCAAGTTAAATATGAACCCAAATAAAAAGTGTGGTATGAATAGGCAAATGGGTTGAGTTTCATTGCTTTTCCTTTTCATTTTTCTCACACTGTCTGTCCATAACGTGACCTATGATGCTTCTTGAGTGAGTTAGGATGGGTCTATGAGCTGCACAAGACATCCTCATTGTATTTTCGGTACAAAATAATTGTAGATAATAAAATCCGAGTTCTGCCTTTTTGAGTCCCTTTGAGAATGAGCTCTGTCTTTTTAAGTCACTGTAGGTTGCTGTTTACATCCAACCAAGAATCTTTGAAAAGCAGAAGTGGAGCCTTCTGCACAACCAATAAGAGTGGTAA